TCACGCCGTCGCGCGTCACGCCGTCGCGCGTCACGCCGTCGCGCGTCACGCCGTCGCGCGTCACGCCGTCGCGCGTCACGCCGTCGCGCGTCACGCCGTCGCGCGTCACGCCGTCGCGCGTCACGCCGTCGCGCGTCACGCCGTCGCGCGTCACGCCGTCGCGCGTCACGCCGTCGCGCGTCACGCCGTCGCGCGTCACGCCGTCGCGCGTCACGCCGTCGCGCGTCACGCCGTCGCGCGTCACGCCGTCGCGCGTCACGCCGTCGCGCGTCACGCCGTCGCGCGTCACGCCGTCGCGCGTCACGCCGTCGCGCGTCACGCCGTCGCGCGTCACGCCGTCGCGCGTCACGCCGTCGCGCGTCACGCCGTCGCGCGTCACGCCGTCGCGCGTCACGCCGTCGCGCGTCACGCCGTCGCGCGTCACGCCGTCGCGCGTCACGCCGTCGCGCGTCACGCCGTCGCGCGTCACGCCGTCGCGCGTCACGCCGTCGCGCGTCACGCCGTCGCGCGTCACGCCGTCGCGCGTCACGCCGTCGCGCGTCACGCCGTCGCGCGTCACGCCGTCGCGCGTCACGCCGTCGCGCGTCACGCCGTCGCGCGTCACGCCGTCGCGCGTCACGCCGTCGCGCGTCACGCCGTCGCGCGTCACGCCGTCGCGCGTCACGCCGTCGCGCGTCACGCCGTCGCGCGTCACGCCGTCGCGCGTCACGCCGTCGCGCGTCACGCCGTCGCGCGTCACGCCGTCGCGCGTCACGCCGTCGCGCGTCACGCCGTCGCGCGTCACGCCGTCGCGCGTCACGCCGTCGCGCGTCACGCCGTCGCGCGTCACGCCGTCGCGCGTCACGCCGTCGCGCGTCACGCCGTCGCGCGTCACGCCGTCGCGCGTCACGCCGTCGCGCGTCACGCCGTCGCGCGTCACGCCGTCGCGCGTCACGCCGTCGCGCGTCACGCCGTCGCGCGTCACGCCGTCGCGCGTCACGCCGTCGCGCGTCACGCCGTCGCGCGTCACGCCGTCGCGCGTCACGCCGTCGCGCGTCACGCCGTCGCGCGTCACGCCGTCGCGCGTCACGCCGTCGCGCGTCACGCCGTCGCGCGTCACGCCGTCGCGCGTCACGCCGTCGCGCGTCACGCCGTCGCGCGTCACGCCGTCGCGCGTCACGCCGTCGCGCGTCACGCCGTCGCGCGTCACGCCGTCGCGCGTCACGCCGTCGCGCGTCACGCCGTCGCGCGTCACGCCGTCGCGCGTCACGCCGTCGCGCGTCACGCCGTCGCGCGTCACGCCGTCGCGCGTCACGCCGTCGCGCGTCACGCCGTCGCGCGTCACGCCGTCGCGCGTCACGCCGTCGCGCGTCACGCCGTCGCGCGTCACGCCGTCGCGCGTCACGCCGTCGCGCGTCACGCCGTCGCGCGTCACGCCGTCGCGCGTCACGCCGTCGCGCGTCACGCCGTCGCGCGTCACGCCGTCGCGCGTCACGCCGTCGCGCGTCACGCCGTCGCGCGTCACGCCGTCGCGCGTCACGCCGTCGCGCGTCACGCCGTCGCGCGTCACGCCGTCGCGCGTCACGCCGTCGCGCGTCACGCCGTCGCGCGTCACGCCGTCGCGCGTCACGCCGTCGCGCGTCACGCCGTCGCGCGTCACGCCGTCGCGCGTCACGCCGTCGCGCGTCACGCCGTCGCGCGTCACGCCGTCGCGCGTCACGCCGTCGCGCGTCACGCCGTCGCGCGTCACGCCGTCGCGCGTCACGCCGTCGCGCGTCACGCCGTCGCGCGTCACGCCGTCGCGCGTCACGCCGTCGCGCGTCAACCCCCTCGCGCGTCACGCTCCTCAGGTGGATACGACGCTCGCAGGTTTCCGCGGGGGCCTCCCTCCCTGGTTCATAGATAACAACTACAGACGCAGCGGCCGTACATCTCACGCATGTCCATGCCTGGACATGGACTCTCCGCCGTTGCATTGGATCCAAAGCAGCCTGACTGGCAGTAGCATGGGGCATAAAAATTTATTCCAAATTTTCAGAACCTGGAGAAAACACGAAACAGCGCCGATTATCTCATGGCAATAATACCAACGGCAAGCAAATGCCACTGATTAAGCGCTCCTTCATTCGCTCCTTCATCAGTACTCTTATATTTCTATCATCATACTCATTATCAACTTATCAATATTTTTAGTGCTACGTAAGTAACCATCTATATCCTGCTCCTCCAACTACTAAATTATACTTAAATAATCAAAATACCTGCGGCGTCAAGAATTCCGCAGCGTTGAAGCCTTTGTGACAAACCACAGCACGGGCCATGGCTGAGCAATCGTCGGTCCAGCGGCCGCTTTCGCCTATGTTGGGTAGGGCCTCCAAAAGAAATTGCGGATCGTTCACGATTTCCACTGGGACCTCCTCGACAAGTGAGTTGTCTGCAAACACCATATGACGAAAATACTCGGGCGCCCAATCGAGAACGCCCTCCAGTACGGGCCACACGCGGCCTCCGCCGCATCGCCAAACGGACTGGGGCACTCTGCTCGCTGCTTCCTGGTAGCCTGGCGCGAGCTTCCTCTTTGGACGAATCCCACGCGAGTACGCCTGCAGCAAGGCCACCCATGTAACATCATCCCAGAGCCACTTGAGCCGCGGTTCCGTGTGACTCGCTACGTAGTCCGGCCCGCCGAAAGCGTGGCCAAAAGTGGCAGAAACATCGTCAAACTCGGAAAAGATCGTATCCACATCGTTCACCGATAGCACTGACGCGATGTCGCGCGCGTAGCCCAGGTCGATTACAGAAGCCTCTGTTCCCTCCGGATTCACTGGCTCCCGGCAGCCGTACATGCGGTCGGCATTCTCTCCCCGAACGCGCAGACAGGACCCCATTCCGAGGAACAAGAGATACGTGCCCAGCGTCTCCCCCCTCTTGTCATCCTCCTCAGGGGTCTTGCCCTCGCCCCACCTTGCAGCGCGCGTCTCATTCATCAGTAGTTGCCGCAGCGACCGGCTGCGCAAAGCAAAGAGCAGTGTGCTCTGTTCCGAACTCTTTGGCGTGTCGGAAATAATTTCGTCCGAACCCGAAGCCGGGCGCGGTGCTTCTAACATCATTCTCAAAGCCACAATAGCCAGCTGCGGCTCCTCGCTGTCACGGGCCGCACTGCTCGGGCGAAAGCTGTCCGCTATTTCTACTGCGTCGTCGTCAGTGGCTTCGCCTTCCCGACTGGAAAAAAGCGTGACACAGCGTCCAGCGCCACGGAAAAAGGGCGGGTCCTTGACAATGAGCCGAAGACAGCGGAAAGAGCCTGAGTCGCTGCCGTCGCTGCCATCGCCTGCGGACCCGGCGTTTTTGCCTTCCTCGTGGTCAGACCCAGAGGAGGCCGGGCCGCTTGCGACATCCATTGTTTTGGGAGCCGGCACAGGCGCATCGCGATACCTTTTGGGGCTCTCTGCAAGCACGTGCCGGCGCATACTCACGTCGAGCTCGCCGAAGTGCAAACGCTCCCCGCCCACAACTTTAGCAAAAACTGCACGCTTGAGGTCAATCAGCGAGAAAACCGCTGTACGGCTGCCGCCGGCATTCGAATGGGCTGCAACGAACTCCTTTGCCAGTTCAGCGACAAACGCTTCTCCGCTGAGCATGTTGCCGATCTCCACACAGAGGGCCCCGCTGCCGTCCTGCGCGAGCCACGCAGCATTCCCAATAACCATGGGAGCGCGCGTAGGAGGCGGAAGACAAGGAGGGCCCGCACGCACAGCATCCTGCTCGTCCGCACGGAGTTGCCCACCAGCGCAGAAGCCTCCTGAACCCGTCATCGGCGTCGTGACTCTACCCCCCGCGGCCTCGCTGTCCTCTTCCGCTGCTTCTTCGATTAGGCCCAGGCACTGCAGCCGCGAGACCAGGCTCGAAAAGCCGTGCCTGCGTGCCAACGTGATGAGCGTTGGATCCATCCGCAGCTCCGCCAGGGCTTCCTTGCTCTCCTCGATTTTGTCCGCTAGTCGCAGGCATACTTCCTCTGTCTGCTTTAGGATGGCGATCTCCATGTAGTCCGAGGCCGGGACGGTATTCAATCCGGTCGGCACTTTTTCTAAATGCAACTTGGCGTCAAAGTTGTAGTCTTTAGAAGATGTCTCTCCATTTTGAGACGAAGTAGAGCAGGCCTGCTGCTCGTCAAACTCTTTGTTACTAGTAGTTGCACCCACGGTCTCGTCGATGTCGCTGCCGGCCTGAAGGCTCTGTCTCGCGGCGTACTCGTCATAGAGCGCAAGGCCGCGACAGTCCAAAAAGCGCAGACAAAGGGATGGCGAATGGCACAGGAGTGCGATCTTGAAAGGACTGCGGGCGGGCTTCAGCACTGCGAGGTCGTAGTCGATTCGGTCGTCGCCCTCCTCATCTTGTTGCATGGACCTCCTTCGAGGAAGATCAAACGATGGCGAAAGAACATGGTCCCCCCTTGCCATGCCCTCGCAGGCGGTCTGGTCTACTCTGCTCGAGTTGAGAGCAGATGAAGGGACTTCCCCAAATTTTTCACCAAGAACGTCGAGCAAGATTTCGGCATCGCCGTTCTCGTCGAATAGAGGCCACACCTCGAGGACCTTTTCCAGCATGACCTGCTTACTGGCCAGTCGATCTCTGTGCGGGAAGCAGGCAGACGCGCTAGCAATCGAAACACGGGAGAAGAAGTCAGCAGCATCGAAATGCGGGTGCCCAAGAACCGCCCGGACGATGATGCCTTGCGCCTCTTTGATGCGTCCACCTTGTAAAACGTCCAGCAGCAGCTCCGGGCCCCCCACTAACTCAGACGGGAGTGCGCCCACAAGGGGCGGGGCAACACTTTCTGTCCCTCTATTAATTCCGTCAGAATCAAGAACGAGGCGACAAAAGCTCACTGGCGCCCGGCGGCAAACGGCGTCTACCATACTCCCGGGGGCTATCGCATGCATTTTCGGCATTAGGTCCATTGCAAGAGTGCGGCCGCCCGCGGGCTGTGGCCGCCAGCACTCGCCCCTCCGTTTCTTCGATCCTTCTAACCCACCAGGAGCAGTAAGCCCTTCTTCCGCTGAAACCCACAAGGAGCTTGATACTGTGCTTTTGTCCTCGTCATCGTCGGCGCGGACGTCCTTGGTGCTGGACTTCGAGTCTTCTGCCTGATGTCCCGCGTACGTCTGTTTTTTCTGTCTCATACTCATGCCCCGCGCTCGAACCAAGGCCACCCAGGTGACGAAGTCCCACCGCCCATCTTTGAGAGATTTTTTGAGGCCTTCAGCAGCGAAATTGCGTCTCCGACATCCCGTGCTTGACTCCTCTGCCCACAGCTCGCCGTGTGCCACCTCATCGCCCGAGAGGACTGCTCCGATGTCCCGGGCATAGCCAAGATCAATCACGCGCGCCGTCGGCCTGGCGTCCTTCCTTGTGTCGCAGGTGGACTATGAAAACGAAGGAAAAGAAAGAAAGCTGGCGGGCTGACTGATTCATTGATTGATGTGCCTAGCATGAGCTAAAAAGCTAAAGACGCTAAACACATCTGTTTCTGTAAGCCTACTCCCTCCCTTACTATTATCTCCACGGCTGTAGTGAGTTGGTCAGAGCTACGCGCTCCAACTGTCACATTACTGCCCCCAAGGGCCATCTCGGTCAATGGGAACTTATAAATTTAGTAACTCTGTGGTCTCTCACTACAAAAAGGATAAAGGCCTGCTTTCGCTCACTGTAAAACTCCCGAGACTGGCCGGCAGTCTGAGAGATAACCTAGCGAAACAGGACCACTTCTTTGCTAATCTAAAAGCGTCGCCGCTCCTGCAGGAGGCGGCTGTTTCCCTCTCTGCTCTAAGGTGAGTGCATATCTTAGTCACACACAGTAGGAATATCATTAATAACACTATCCAACAAGAAGACCTCCACTTTTCTCACTAGAGCAAAAGACCGCCTTCGCATACACACAATGTACCCCGGAAGCAGCCAAACATGAACTCTTTTCCCGGGCGCCCTTCGGACCGAACACGCTCTCCGCCGCCAAGCCGTCGTAAATAGTAACCTAACGACTTCCAGGTCACATCCCCACGGCCAGCCCCAAACATGCCTGGAACCGATTGCCAGCAAGCCCTTCTTTCGTCTTTCGTCTCAGAGAGCAAGAATTCGCGTAGGGAGCGCGACCGAAGCGAAAAACTAAGCAGGGGACAAGAATGGGCGGCGCCATCTCCTATCTCAGGAGAAAGCGAAGCCTGCTGCATTCCGTGGGGCGTGCTGGCGTCCTTCATCAGAGTGACGCGCAGCAGCTGCGCCTCCTCCTCCTCACAAGCTGGGTCGCCTCTGAAAAAGATGTCAGGCAGTTCGTCCTGTGCATCTTCCTGCTGAAGCTGATTGAAGAACGCCACGCACCGCGCGGTGCCCCGCAGAAAAGGCGGGTCTTTCACGATAAGGGGCAACGCAGCAAAGGCCGGAGACTCGAAGTCGAGTGTTTCGTTTTCGTACGGCCCCAGCGGGGGCGCCTTTGTAGGAATAGGCACTGGACGAGTAGTCGGAATCGATTTTCCTGTAGTTGGTGTTTGTCTCTCTGCCCGCTGTTTCCTCATACTGGCATCGAGCGGCCCGAAATGCAAGCGCTGCTGCCCATCCACTACCCTGGCGAACACAGTACGCTTCAAATCGATCAGCGACAGCAGCAGCGTATCAGGAGAAGACCCATCCTCAACCATTAAGAACTCTTTTGCCACCTCAAAAGTGACGCTTTTCCCGCTGTCTCGATCGGTGATGTCCATGCACAAGGCGCCCGTGCCGTCGTCGCTAAGCCTTACGGCATTGCTGCATGCCAAGGGCGCACGCGTCCACGGCAGATCGTGTGGCGGAATCAACTTCGCGTACGCTTCGTAGGATACTCTAGTTGCACGACTGGTGGCGGATTCGTATATGCCGGAAGTGGGCGACTCGCCCGTGCCACCCGCCTCGGCATCGCCGTCGCGGCGCGCCGCGCTAATACGTGGACTGCGGTCCACATTCTCGGCCAGCTCAAAACAAGCAGCAGATCTACATTTATTGCTCCCTTCATTTCCGTCAAGAAAAGCGCACTTTTTCTCCTCCCGCGGGAGCGCACACACGTTTCCCATTTCTTCGGCTTCTTCAACAAATTATCCAACTCTATTGATAAATACAAAGCCGAAAATAGTCTAAAGATGCAGTGTCCTTTTCCTCATAATCAATCACGACTACTTTATTCGGCTTCGGCTTCTAATTTTTTACTACATCATTATGATCACGAGGCGTTATCTCTGAACAACCAAAATGAAAACTGCACTTTCAGCATTGACTTACTATACGTAGGAAATGATGACTAAAAAACACAATGCACGAGGAATCAGTGAACAAGATGAACCCCAACTACGTCCTACTACATTGACATGTACATAGAAGTGCGAAGCTATCAAACTGATGCAACTGACTACAACTTTTTTTATCACTTACTGATATAGATACGGCTCAAAGAAAAGATAAAGAATACACATATTAGACCTTGAGACTCATTCTCTCAGTCGTGGTTGATGAGGATGGGCAGCAAAAAAATGACTGAGACACAGGACGCGGCGATGTTTGTTTCGGGTTTGAAAAAATGAATAGAAGTTATCGAAGGCACTACTACCACCACCTCGCAACTTAATCGGGACTCGTGCCGACTACTCTCCTCAACTGTCGTCTCTCAGCTACAGCCATCTCCCTCACAGTAAACACTGCTTGGTAGCGCTCTACTATCCTCTCACCGTGATAACCCATATTAACAGATATGCACCTACAGAGGGTGAACACCGTAAGACACAACAAGACTCATCGCAACAGACTTCTCCGACATATATGACAGATTAGTACAGGACGCTCCGCTCACTACTCGAGATGTGCTGAACGTGCCTCCGCCAAACCCTAGTCAGTCCGAGCGAGGGGGGGGCCGCTCGCTTTGGACATGACCAACAAGGGGCTTCCATTCAGGGCGGGGGAGCAACTTGTACTTTCTTCGTATACAACTTTCAGACAGAGGTCAACATCACAGAGCCACAAACAACGACCGACACTGGCGCGCCTGCTACTTCCTCTCCCTTGTCTCTCGCTCGAGCCAAGAGACATTCCAACGAATATTTTGCATCAAAATGCCAGCAGATGAAGGCCTCCAAATTCAAGGCGCTCCAAGTTTTAATCGCTTCAAGCTTCAATCGCGGCAGGCGCATGCGCTGTAAGCGCCGGACAAGATTCTGAGAACGCAGTCAATCTCCAAGATCTGATGGCGTCTTCATCGAGCTAAACAAGAAAAAATCAAGCAAGAGCGTATTTTTTTGGTATTTTTTTCGAAGCAGTTGAAGAAGTTCTTGCTCTCAAACTAACAAGTATTTCTTTAGCTGTTCAACAATGTCAACCACTTCCGTCGAAGTGTTGCCGCCGCTTCGCAACCTACTACTTGTTGATGCCCAAATTCCTGGATCACCTTGTCCCCGGATGCCTAAGTATGCAGATCAGGAGTAGCTTAATCCAAGAAGCCAACTGCGCTGTTGGTCTATGTTTTGCTCCACAAAGAATGAAAGGCATCAGGAGTAGCTCCGGCTCACAATTTCGCTAAGCGGTCGGCCACTGCCGCATGTCCTTGCTGCTTCGCCAGCTTTATGGCCCCAGGCAATTCCATCCTTAGTTCCTCCATCGCGCGCTCTTGCTGCTCGATTCGGTCTAGAACCCGCATGCAGATCGCTTCTGTTTGTCCTGGATCTAGGGAAGTCGCCGACGCCGAGGACTGGCTCTTTCCTGTGCCATTCTTGTTTCCTACCTTACTTAGATCCCCCCAGGAATCCATCATGAGAGTCATGGTGTGTCTGTTCTCCCTTTAGAGAGGTCCCCCAAGATGCTTCTGAAGATGGATTCCCGGAAGCCTTAACCCACTTTCTACTTGTTTCAGCTGCGCCATCTGCAAATATATTGGTGCCGGGATCGTGTTGACACCGTCCGGAACCGCTTCTCTTTCACGCGCTCCCGGGAATAGGTTGTACTTTTTTCCCAATCGCATCTTATCACTGTCCGCGGCGGAGAGACCCTGTAAGGCCGCGAACTCGTCGAACAGAACGAGGCCGGGGCAGTCGAGCAGGCACAAACAGACCCACGCCTCTACTCCGTTTTGCAACGCGGCCTGTAGCGGACTCCTCACGGGCGCGGACGAGATTGTGGCCTCGGGGCCATTCCCAAACAAGCCCCCGCCAGGAGAGAGACCCTCCGACAAATAGAGAAAGGTATCCCCTGCCAGGAAGTTCTGAAAGAACATAGAAGAAGCCATACTAGAAAAAAAGCTACTAGACTTATTTACTTGCTTCTGCTTATTTTCCACCACCCGGGACGCATTAAGCACTTCCGGCGGAATCATTCCGAACTTGCCCTGCAAAATCTCCTTCAAGATTAGAGGCACAAAGCTCGTGTCTCCGTACTTATTTTGCCCGCTGGCTCCAACTCCAATCAGCCGCTCGAGAACAGTCTCCGCCGGCCGCCAAGGGCCATCATTTGCGCCCTGCATAGTGGTGATGGGTAGAAGAAAGATGATATAATAGACAACAACTACAGGAGCAACGACCGCACATCTCATACATGTACATGCCTGGGCATGGACTCTCCGCCGTTGCATTAGATCCAAAGCAGCCTGACTAGCATGGGGTATAAAAATTCCCTCCAAATTTTCAGAGCCTGTAGAAAACACGAAACAGCGCCCCTCATCTCATGGCAATAATACCAGCGGCAAACAACTGCCACTGAGTAAGCGCTTCTTCATTCGCTCCTTCACCAGTACTCCAATGCTTCCATCATCATACTCATTATCAAATTATCTAGTTAAGTCACCATCTATATCCTGCTCCTCGAACTACTGAATTATAATGAGAATACCTGCGGCAGCAAGAACTCCGCAGCGCTGAAGCCCTTGTGACAAACCACAGAGCGGGCCATGGCTGAACAATCCTCGGTCCAGCGACCACTCCCGCCGTAGTGGGGTAGAGCCTGCAAAAGAAGTTTCGTATCGTTCACGATTTCCGCTGGGACCTCCTCGACAAGTGAGTTGTCCGCAAACACCATATGACGAAAATATTCGGGCGCCCAATCGAGAACACCCTCTAGTACGGGCAACGCGCGATCGCCTCCGACTTGTAACCAAACGGACTGGGGCACTCTGCTCGCTGCTTCCTGGTATCCTGGCGCGAGCTTTCTCTTTGGACGAATCCCACGCGAGTACGCCTGCATCAAGGCCACCCATGTGACATCATCCCAGAGCCACCTGAGCCCCGTTTCCGTGTAGCTCAGTATGCAGCACGGGGTGTCGCAACCGTGGTCAACTTTGCAAGAAACCCAGCCAAGATGATCGAAAAAGATCGGCCCCACATCTTTCACCGATAACACTGACGCAATGTCGCGCGCGTAGCCGAGGTCGATTACAGAAGCAGTGACCTCTCTTCCTTCCGGAATCACTGGGTCCCAGAAGCCGCCGTGCTCGAAGTACATGCGGTCGGCATTCTCTCCACGAAGGCGCAGACAGGACCCCATTCCGAGATACAGGAGATACGTTCCCAGCGTCTCCCCCCTCTTGCCATCCTCCTCCGGAGTCTCGCCCCCGCCCCACCTAGCAGCGCGCGTCTCATTCATCAGGAGTTGCCGCAGAGACCGGCTGCGCAATGCAAAGTGCAGTGTGTTCTGTTCCGAACTCTTTGGCGTGTCAGAAATAATTTCGTCCGAACCCGAAGCCGGGCGCGGTGCTTCTGACATCATTCTCAAAGCCACACTAGCCAGCTGCGGCTCCTCGCTGTCACGGGCCGCACTGCTCGGGCGAAAACTGTCCGCTATCTCTACTGCGCCGTCGTCAGTGACTTCGCCCTCCCGACTGGAAAAAAGCGTGACACAGCGTCCGGCGCCACGAAGAAAGGGCGGGTCCTTGATAATGAGCGGAAGACGGTCAGAGGAGTCAGGGGAGCCTGAGTCGCTGTCGCCGCTGCCATCACCTGCGGACCCGGCGTTTTTGCCTTCCTCGTAGTCAGACCCAGAGGAGGCCGGGCCGCTTGCGACATCCATTGTTTTGGGAGCCGGCACAGGCGCATCGCGATACCTTTTGCGGCTCTCTGCAAGGACCTGCCGCCGCATACTCACGTCGAGCTCGCTGAAGTGCAAACGCTTCCCGTCCACAACTTTAGCAAAAACTGCACGCTTGAGGTTAATCAGCGAGAAAACCGCTGTACGGTTGCCACCAGCATTTGGGCGGGCTGTAACAAACTCCTTTGCCAGTTCAGCGACGAACGCTTCTCCGCTGAGCATGTTGCCGATCTCCACACAGAGGCCCTCGCTGCCGTCCTGCGCGAGCCACGCAGCATTCCCAATGACCATGGGAGCGCGCGTAGGAGGCGGAAGACAAGGAGGGTCCGCACAGACAGCATCCTGCTCGCCCGCACGGAGTTGCCCACCAGCACAGAAGCCTCCTGAACCCGTCACCGGCGTCGTGACTCTACCCCCCGCGGCCTCGCTGTCCTCTTCCGCGGCTTCTTCGGTTAGGCCCAGGCACTGCAGCCGCGAGACCACGCTCGAAAAGCCCTGCCTGCGTGCCAACGTTATGAGCGTTGGATCCATCCGCAGCTCCGCCAGGGCTTCCTTGCTCTCCTCGATTTTGTCCGCTAGTCGCAGACATACTTCCTCTGTCTGCTTTAGGATGGCGATCTCCATGTAGTCCGAGGCCGGGACGGTATTCAATCCGGCCGGAACTTCTTCTAGATGCAACTTGGCGTCAAAGTTGTAGTCTTTGGGAGATGTCCCTGCATTTTGAGACGAAATAGTGCAGGCCTGCTGCTCGTCAAGCTCTTTGTTACAAGTAGTTGCACCCACGACCTCGTCGATGTCGCTGCCGGCCTGATGGCTCTGTCTCGCGGCGTACTCGTCATAGAGCGCGAGGCCGCAACAGTCCAAAAAGCGCAGACAAAGGGACGGCGAATGGCACAGGAGTGCGATCTTGAAAGGACTCCGGACGGGCTTCAGCACTGCGAGGTCGTAGTCGATCCGGTCGTCGCCTTCCTCATCTTGTTGCACGGACCTCCTTCGAGGAAGATCAAACGATGGCGAAAGAAAATGGTACCCCCCTGCCATGCCCCTGCAAGCGGTCTGGTCTACTCTGCTCGAGTTGAGAGCAGACGGAGGGACTTCCCCAAATTTTCCACCAAGAACGCCGAGCAAGAGCTCCGCTTCGCCGTTGTCGTCGAATATAGGCCACACCTCGAGGACCTTTTCCAGCATGACTTGTTTACTGGCCAGCCGATCTCTGTGCCCGGAACGGGTAGACGCGCTAGCAATCGAAACACGGGAGAAGAAATCGGCCGCATCGAAATGCGGGTGCCCAAGAATCGCCCGGACGATGACGCCTTGCGCCTCTTTGATGCGTCCATTCTGTAAAACGTCCAGCAGCAGCTCCGGGCCCCCCACTAACTCAGACGGAAGCGCGCCCACGAGGGGCGGGGCACTGCTTTCTGCTCCTTTATATATTCCGCCAGGGTGAAGAACGAGGTGACAAAAGCTCATTGGCGCCTGGCGGAAAACGGCGTCTACCACACTCCCGGGGGCGATCGCGTGCTTCTTCGGAATTAGGTCCATTGCAAGAGTGCGGCCGCCCGCGAATTGTGGCCGCCAGCACTCGTTCCCCCGTTTCTTCGATCCTTCTAACCCACCAGGAGCAGTAAGTTCTTCTTCCGCTGAAACCCACACGGAGTCTGATAGTGTGCTTCCGTCCTCGTCATCGTAGGCGCGGGCCTCCTTGGTACTGGGCTCCGAGTCTTCCGCCTGATGTCCCGCGTGTGTCTGTTTTTTCTGTCTCATGCTCATGCCCCGTGCTCGAACCAAGGCCACCCAGGTGACGAAGTCCCACCGCCCATCTTTGAGAGATTTTTTGAGGCCTTCAGCAACGAAATTGCGCCAAAAACCTTTCCTTTTTGGCTCCTCTGGCCACTGCTCGCCGCGTGCCACCTCGTCGCCCGAAAGGGCCGCTCCTATGTCCCGGGCATAGCCAAGATCAATCACGCGCGCAGTCGGCTTGGCGTCCTTCCTTGTGTCGCAGGTGCACTATGAAAACGTCGGAAAAGAAATATAGCGGACGGCCTGACTGATTCGTTGATTGATGTGCCTAGCATGAGGTGGGTGCAGAAGATGTAAAAAACTAAAGACGCTACACACATCTGTAATCCTACTCCCTTACCATCATCTCCACAGCTGTAGTGAGTTGGTCAAAGCTACGCGCCCCAACTGCCACATCACTGCCCCCAAGGACCATTTCGGTCAATGGGAACTTTTTAATTTAGTCACCCTGTGGTCTCTCTCTCACTACAATATAAAAGGATAAAGGCTTGCTTTCGCTCAGTGTAAAACTCCCGAAACTTCTGGGTGGCAGTCTGAGAGAAAACCTAGCGAAACAGGCCCACTTCTTTACTAATATAAAAGCGTCGTCGCCCCTGCAGGAGGCGGCTATTTCCCTCTCTGCTCTATGGTGAGTGCATATCTTAGTCATATACAGTATGAATATCATTACTAACACTACCCAACAAGAAGACATCCACTTTCTTCACTAGAACAAAAGACTGCCTTCGCATACACAATATAGACCCTCCGAGCAGCCAAACATGCAATCTTTTCCCGGGCGCCCTTCGGGCCGAACACGCTCTCCGCCGCCAAGCCGTCGTAAATAGTGACCTAACGACTTCCAGGTCACACCCCGACAATGCTTTCTTTCGTCTTTTGTCTCAGAGAGCAAGAATTCGCGTAGCGAGCGCGACCGGAGCGAAAAACTAAGCAGGGGACAAGAATGGGCGGCGCCATCTCCATTCTCAGGAGAAAGCGAAGCCTGCTGCATTCCGTGGGACGTGCTGGCGTCCTGCTTCAGAGTGACGCGCAGCAGCTGCGCCTCCTCCTCCTCACAAGCTGGGTCGCCTCTGAAAAAGCTGTCAGGCAGTTCGTCCTGTGCATCTTCCTGCTGAAGCTGATTGAAGAACGCCACGCACCGCGCGGTGCCCCGCAGAAAAGGCGGATCTTTCACGATAAGGGGTAACGCAGCAAAGGCCGGAGACTCGAAGTCGAGTCTTTGGTACGGCGCCAGCGGGGGCGCCTTTGTAGGAATAGGCACTGGACGAGCAGTCGGAATCGGTTTTCCTGTAGTTGGTGTTTGTCTCTCTGCCCGCTGTTTCCTCATACTGGCATCGAGCGGCCCGAAATGCAAGCGCTGCTGTCCGTCCACTGCCCTGGCGAACACAGCACGCTTCAAATCGATCAGCGACAACAGCAGCGTGTTAGGAGAAGACCCGTCCTCAACCATTAAGAACTCTTTTGCCACTTCAAAAGTGACGCTTTTCCCGCTGTCTCGATCGGTGATGTCCATGCACAAGGCGCCGGAGCCATCGTCGCTGAGCCTTGCGGCATTGCTGCATGCCAAGGGCGCACGCGTCCACGGCAGATCGTGCGGCGGAATCAACTTCGCGTACGCTTCGTAGGATATTCTACTTGCACGACTGGTGCTGGATTCGTATATGCCCGAAGTGGGCGGCTCGCCCGCGCCACCCGCCTCGACATCGCCGTCGCGGCGCGCCGCGCTACTGCGCGGACTGCGGTCCACATTCTCGGCCCGCTCAAAACAAGCACCGAATCTACATTTATTGGCCCCTTCATTTCCGTCAAGAAAAGCGCCCTTTTTCTCATCCCGCGGGAGCGCACACACGTTTCCCATTTTTTCGGCTTCTTCAATAAATTATCTAACTCTATCGATAAATACAAAGACGAAAATAGTCTGCCTTTTCCTCATAATCAATCACGGCTACTTTGTTTGGCTTCGGCTTCTAATTCTTTACTAGATCATCATTATCATGATGCCTTATTTCTGAACAACCAAAATGAAAATTGCACTTTCAGCATTTACTTATTTTACGTAGGAAATGATGAATCACAAACACAATGCACGAAGAATCAGTGAACAAGATGAACCGCAACTACGTCTTACTACATTGACATGCGCATAGAAGTACGAACCTATCAAACTGATGCAACTCGCTACAACTTTTTTATACCTTACTTAGATAGATGCGGCTCAAAGAAAAGAGAAAGAATACACACATTAGGCCTTGAGACTCATTCTCCCAGTCGTGGTTGATGAGGATGGGCAGCAAAAAAATGACTGAGACACGGGACGCGGTGATGTTTGTTTCGGGTTTGAAAAAAAAAACAGAAGTTATCGAAGGCACTACTACCACTTACAATCACCTCGCAACTTAATCGAGACTCGTGCCGACTACTCTCCTCAACTGTCATCTCTCAGCTACGACCATCTCTCTCACAGTAAACACTGCTTGGTAGCGCTCTACTATACTCTCAACACCATGATGACCCATATTAACAGATATGCACCTACAGAGGATGAACACCGTAAGACACAACAGGACTCATCGTAGCAGACTTCTCAGACATATATGACAGATTAATTACAGGCGACTCCGCTCACTGCTCGAGTTGTGCTGAACGTGCCTCCGCCAAACCCTAGTTAGGCCGAGCGAGGGGGAGGCGGCTCGCTTTGGACATGACCAAAAAGGGACTTCCATTCAGGGCGAGGGAGCAACTTGTGCTTTCTTCGTATACAACTCTAAGACAGAGGTCAACATCACAGAGCCACAAACAACGACCGATACTGGAGCGCCTGCTACTTCCTCTCTCCCTTGTCTCTCGCTCGAGCCAAGAGACATTCCAACGAATATTTTGCATCAAAATGCCAGCAGATGAAGGCCTCCAAATTCAAGGCGCTCCAAGTTTTAATCGCTTCAAGCTTCAATCGCGGCCGGCGCATGCGCTGTAAGCGCCGGACAAGATTCTGAGAACGCAGTCAATCTCCAAGATCTGATGGCGTCTTCATCGAGCTAAACAAGAAAAAATCAAGCAAGAGCGTATTTTTTTGGTATTTTTTTCGAAGCAGTTGAAGAAGTTCTTGCTCTCAAACTAACAAGTATTTCTTTAGCTGTTCAACAATGTCAACCACTTCCGTCGAAGTGTTGCCGCCGCTTCGCAACCTACTACTTGTTGATGCCCAAATTCCTGGATCACCTTGTCCCCGGATGCCTAAGTATGCAGATCAGGAGTAGCTTAATCCAAGAAGCCAACTGCGCTGTTGGTCTATGTTTTGCTCCACAAAGAATGAAAGGCATCAGGAGTAGCTCCGGCTCACAATTTCGCTAAGCGGTCGGCCACTGCCGCATGTCCTTGCTGCTTCGCCAGCTTTATGGCCCCAGGCAATTCCATCCTTAGTTCCTCCATCGCGCGCTCTTGCTGCTCGATTCGGTCTAGAACCCGCATGCAGATCGCTTCTGTTTGTCCTGGATCTAGGGAAGTCGCCGACGCCGAGGACTGGCTCTTTCCTGTGCCATTCTTGTTTCCTACCTTACTTAGATCCCCCCAGGAATCCATCATGAGAGTCATGGTGTGTCTGTTCTCCCTTTAGAGAGGTCCGCCAAGATGCTTCTGAAGATGGATTCCCGGAAGCCTTAACCCACTTTCTACTTGTTTCAGCAGCGCCATCTGCAAATATATTGGTGCCGGGATCGTGTTGACACCGTCCGGAACCGCTTCTCTTTCACGCGCTCCCGGGACTAGGTTGTACATTTTTTCCAATCGCATCTTATCGCTGTCCGCGGCGGAGAGACCCTGTGAGGCCGCGAACTCGTCGAACAGGACGAGGCCGGGGCAGTCGAGCAGGCACAAACAGACCCACGCCTCTACTCCGTTTTGCAGCGCGGCTTGAAGCGGACTCCTCACGGGCGCGGACGAGATTGTGGCCTCGGGGCCATTCCCAAACAAGCCCCCGCCAGGGGAGAGAGCCTCCGACAAATAGAGAACGGCATCCCCTGCCAGGAAGTTCTGAAAGAACCTAGAAGAAGCCATACTAGAAAAAAAACTACTAGACTTATTTACTTGCTTCTGCTTATTTTCCACCACCCGGGACGCATTAAGCACTTCCGGCGGAATCATTCCGAACTTGCCCTGCAAAATCTCCTTCAAGATTGCAGGCACAAAGCTCGTGTCTCCGTAGCTACCTTGCCCGCTGGCTCCAATTCCAATCAGCCGCTCGAGCACGGTCTCCGCCGGGCCATCATTTGCGTCCTGCATAGTGGCGATGGGTAGAAGAAAGATGATATAATAAATAACAACTACAGGAGCAACGACCGCCCATCTCATACATGTACATGCCTGAGCATGGACTCTCCGCCGTTGCATTAGATCCAAAGCAGCCTGACTAACATGGGGTTTAAAAATTCCCTCCAAATTTTCAGAACCTGTAAAAAACACGAAACAGCGCCGCTCATCTCATGGCAAAAATACCAGCGGCAAACAACTGCCAGTGAGTAAGCGCTTCTTCATTCGCTCCTTCACCAGTACTCTAATACTTCTATCATCATACTCATTATCAAATTATCTACTCTGATTAGCCTAATAAGAGGGTCTTCGCGTTTCACTCTCGCCAGCGGCAGAGCTGTCAGTGCGACACGCACTATGCAGCGCGAAAAGCGCTCGCCTGAAAAAGTAAGCCGCCGAGGATCCCCGCCCGCGGCGCCTTGCTTTGTCACATATCCCCGAACACGACCGACGGCGCGCCTTCTCACATTGCTCCCCCATTGCTCCCCACCTGCGCCGAACACAACATCCGAGACACAAACGCCACACCAATCGCCACCCGCAATTATCCGGCGACGGGGCGGGCGGGCTGCTGCAGTTGCGCCACCTTGCTTCCCCTACTTACAGCCTCCGCTATGGGCGCGAACAATGAGAGACCACAGCCACACGCAACGAATCAATTTAGCACAGCCCCCCGCACACCTTGCTGCCACGACAAAGACCAAGCTGCCAGAATAACCGTGAGACCCCGCGGACGCATCCGCTACCTGGCAAAGAAGCGCCATCCACTACCGGCCGTCCCAATACGCAGCACGCAAGACAGACCGGAAGGACAGAGGGGCCGGCCGGTCCCTCTCTCACGCCATTGCTTGCGCCAGCCATCACTTACCACGCACAGCACCCGCACGCACGGCGGGGAGGCTGCGCTGGTCCCCCGCACTGTTGCCGCAATAGCTCCGCCCCCCCCCCGCGTCCGCACGCCGACAAGCCACACCGCCACCTGCCACAAAGCAAAACAATGCCAAACAGCCACGCACAAGACACCGAGGACGGCCTGCGCCCGCCCTCCTAAAGAAGAGCCGGCGCCGCCGCTTCCCCCATCCCCCGATCGAAATGACAAAAAGCGGCCCCCCCCGTCAGTCGGTCTCTCTCTCTTCCTTATCCGAACGAGACAGAGCGCCGACACCCATAGACAGACAAGAAAAGCCTGCCAGGCAGTGCACAGACATGGAGAAACGAGTGGAGCAAAAGCTGCCAAGCCCGACGCGAAACAACCCATGCCACAGCGAACCGACTCAGCCTCACACGCTACGCACCCACGGGCACCCAGGCGAGCGAGTCTCACTTTCAATTTAGTCGACGGGCGCGGGGGGCCGCCGCAGCCAGCCGACAAACAAAAAACAAAGAACGAAAGGCCCACAAAAAAGGACGAAGAGACCAAACAGCAGACACGAGTAGAAGAAAGAGCAGCCGGGGCCCCCAGGAGTCCTTCACAAACCCAATACAGCGACAAAGAAAGGCGGCTCCAAGATGCACAAGCCTGCCCGCCAAACCGAAGCAAAAAAGGAGAAGGCACCACCGTCGAACCCTACGAGAACTCACACACTGCCCGCCCGCCCGCCCACGCACGCGGCCACCGGCGCAGCGCACCGAAGAGCATAATCGCGGGACCACCTCCACCCAACTTAGAATTAGATAGACGAAGCCAGCGAAAGCAAAAGCAGTCAGAGGCCGGACATAGCTCACCCAGCCACCCCAGCGACCGATGGGGCTTCAAGGTCAGCCTACAAAGCTGCATGACTGAACGAACACTCACGCACGCAGTTAGCATTGACACCCGCTCCGTTTGAAACGAGGGCGCCGGCAGTGCTGACGGCCCGCAAGGCTCCAGACATAACAACCAAGGCGGCCCAGTTATCATCGGCAACAAAAATCACCCAGCCAAACACCCCAAGCCAGAAGAAAAGGCACAGCGGCGAAGCCCTCGACCCAAGCGCCGGCCCAGTGCCCGCCACGCGCCCTCCCCCCTTCACACACACAGCACAACCCCGCGCGGGGACCCCTTCACAAGTTGCAACGCGAAACAAAGCAAAGCCCCCCATCCAACAGCGAGCGGCAGCGAAGACGACCTGCACACACCACCGAAAACAGACACCACCTACCAGCAAAATCGAGCCGGGGGCGAAATTAATAATGTGACTGAAGAACGACCGAGCCAGCAAGCCAACACGCATGGCACGAAGCTCCCCCGCGAAACAAAGAGAGAAAGAACGAAGACCACACCTCCCAAAAACACACCCACCCACACACACCGCCGCACCCAGCTTCATCGAGCTAAAAAGCACTCCCCAACGGCTGGCCACTCACTCACACGAGAAACACACTGGAAATCACCTGACGACACAGAGAAGAGGGAGCCCCACCCCATGGGCAGGCAGCCTCACTTACTTAGATTAAAACAAGACGCACCCCTACCCTGCGCCAGATTTTCACGCCCCGACATGTACAGACAAAAACGCCCAGCGCTTTGCTGGCTCCGATGTGTCATGGCTAGGCAGGTGCGCCCAAGCTGCACAGATGCGAGCCATAACTAATACGAGACAAACAGCGCCCGCCATTAACTACTTCCCACGCACGACCCGAAGCAAAAAGCAAGCACCTGCGGCAGCCCTAGACCTGCAGCCACGTGCTGCAGCCCCGGGCCCCGTTTTTAATCTCAGTAGCCAGTGCCGTGAGTGGCCCAAGCTGCGACGCGCCTCCCTCGTTCGCTCCTAAGTCACTGCCTTAGCCAGATGAAAGCCACGAAAGCGAGGGGCCGGCGCCGGGTCCTTCGGTTCATGTGTTTGCTTTTTTCTTTGCAGAAGCAAGCACGGCGCGCGCCATCCGCTTCAGCGCGTGGAACTGATACCAACAAAGGCCACAAACAAGCCACTCCCCTGCCCCCTGCCTTTTTTTTTTCTCACCGAAATGACCACACTCGCGGCCCCAGCTGCCAGCTTGTGTCAGGGGCCTGCTGCAAAAGTTGCTCGACGGTTATTTTTAAAAACAGAAGCGGGCAAAGGCATGCACGGCATACTATAGACACCAAAAGAAAGAAAGAACCGCACACACCTCCCCCGCCTGCTTGGTCTTTTCGACACCAAGCCGCGCGCGCAGCGCGATCTTCGGTTTTTCCGCGCGCTTTTTTTGCGGGCTCCGTTTTATATGCAGAAAAAAACCAAGCGCACGCAGCGCACCCCTCTAGTTTTTTTCTGTTTTTTCCAAGTGAGAAGCTTGACGCGCGAAGGCCTTCCCCCTCTGAATTCTTGGCGCTACTACCCTCCGCCCTTGAAATTGCTTGGGTGTTCGGGGGGTCCAGCCGCCTAATTATCGCAGGGGGGGTTTTCAGTGGAAACCCCCCCGCGATATTGGGGCAGTTTGACCCCCCGAACACCCAAGCAATTTCTAAGGGGGAGGGTAGTCGCCACAAGAATCTAGAGGGGGACAGCTTTCACCCGTTACCTTTGTCACTTAGAGAAAAGCCAAAAAAAGTAGAAAAGCGCGCTGCGCGCGCCTCTTTTTTTCTTTTACAGAAAAGCCTGCAAAAACCAGGCAGAAAAACAGGAGCACGCGCGCAGTGCGCGCGCCTATAGAACGAAGGCAGAAACCCAGGCGAGCTGCCTGTCGCCCCGTTCCTATCCCGTCGCTCTGCATACTGCCAGAGAAGGAGACACACACGAAAAAGAGCGACCCCACCCACGCAAACCGAGGACACCCACAGACAGAACCAACAGAGCAAGCGCGTGGCCCCATCTTTGCGCACCTGTTGCCTGTTGCGCTGGTTCACTTTGCTGCACCCTACCCGGAGGAGGGCAGCCAAGGTCTGAGAATGAACCTGGGCAAGCAGCTGCCAACTACCTGCACCCGACTACCAGGCCGCCAACATAACCAGCGCACCTAAAGGAAGCAAGTTGCTCACAAAAGCAGAGTGGCCGACAGCCTGCCACAAGTCAGAACACACACCACGCACCCAAGCCAGCGCGCCGCGCCGTGTGTTTCGCAATCGTTTCAATCAGCAGCCCCTTCTGGGTGTCTCCATCTCCATGGTGATGGCAATACCATAGCCAACAAGCTACGAAAAGAGAAGAGAAGCCCCACACTTGGCGACCCTGTCTCACTCCAATGATGCAACACAGAAGACGAAAGCACTGGGCCACGCCCAAGGTGGAAGGCAGTGAGTGCCACTCGCCTCCCATTTTGAGCCGCAGAACACTACACAGCGCACCCCCCACCTCCGAAAGAAAGCCCAGCCAAGCCCCGACACAAGTTGCCCCACTCCGCTGCAGAACCTGCGATACCAGGCAGCCGAACGCCGCAGCGCAAACCTGACGGACCACGCGCCAGCCACCTGTGCCCTTCCCTGGGCACACCCACGAGCGATCGACGGAGCAGCGGCTCTCCAATGCGAACGAGCCGACAAGCCCCACAAAAGTGAAGGCGCGGCGCCCTCCTAGCGGCGGCGCCTGGGTTCAAGCTGTGCCCCCCGCTTGGCTTCTCCCTCGTTCTCCATAAGTTGCCCAACCAACACCAGAGCAGTGAGGGATATGAGCTCTAAAACAAACACCAAAAAGCAAAACGAACCACGACGCGAGGCCAGAACCCATTGCCCTGCCGCCCATGGGCGCTCCTGCGTTTTGATGGTCTCGCGCTGGCCTGCGTCTGCGTGCCCCCACGCTGAGCTGCTTGCGAATGAAAGACATGACACCGACGACACCCGAAAGAAGTAGACCAAAACAAAAGTCAGCAGCTATAATCTATCAGCACACACCCCAGAGGCCCCCGCCTGCTTGGGCTTGCTTTCTCTTCGTTGGGAAACAATAAGCATCACCAGCGCCAGCAAGTTCCCTCGGCTTCGACGAAGCCCCCAAGGAACAAGAAGGCGACACCACCGCACGCCGCTCAAAGCAGTCACCCCCCCCAAATCACAAAGAAGCCGCAAAGCGCCGCGCGCTCTCATGGCTTTAGAAAGAATCAACTCCGCGGGCAGGTCCACCACCGAAGGAGGCAGCTGCCCTAGCCAGGGGAAGAGAGTTCACCCACGACCCAGCGCCAACAACGAACGACAACGCAAACAAGGCGCTACCTTGCGAGAAGCAACCGACCCACACCAACCAAAAGCACAGCGGCGCCATTACCTAAGACACACAACAGCAGCCCAAGAGCACCCGCGACCGAGATGACCAGGCGAAGCCTTCCGATCCATGTTTCCGAAAAGGCTCCCGACGTTTACAACTATAATCCCCCAAAAGCCCGCCACCCCTTAGCACGCACACCAGCCCGCCCACCCAGGGGCACCCCCTAGCTTTTCAAGAAAAGCTACACCGTAGCAAGCTTTGGCGGGTCCCCTGGTGCACTGCGTTGCCCCATAGGCAACAGGCGCGCGCCCGCCACGGAAAAGCATAAGCGAAGCCAACCGAACTCGACCAAACGAGGAACGACAAAGAAAAAGCACAACAAGCGAGAGTGAGAGGCTGGCCCCCCACCCCAGAGCCGCCTCCAGGTAGTTCCAACCAAGGTGCCCACGTTCTCCCTCGATGTATTACCCCGAGCCTGCAAAACCCGGCAGCACCCGCTTCGGGTTCCGCTCTCCTTCAAACGATCCAACGCAAGCCACACCCCCACAGACACCCGAGACACAACTACACACAAGCCCAGCCAGGTGGCGGCCGAGTTTCATTAAGACGAGGCGCCCGCCCTGCCCGCAGAAACAAAAAGCCACACAACTACACCATGCACCGTCCTCACGGCACCGCAGCGGCAGCCCCTCGCGTAGCCCCGCTCAGTTACCTCCCCGAAAGAGTGAGCCAGCGAAACTATTAACATAGGCCCTCCCCGCTGCTTCACGCGTTTCACATGCCCCGCACATCAGACCCCGACAAAAGCAGCGGAGGCGCGCCACCTATGCACGCCGTCGCCCGCTCTGTTTGCTACCATCGACCGACACCCACGGGGGCGGCGCCGTGGCGGCTTTGTGAGTGCGCTCTGACTGGGCGGCCCCATGCCGCTGCGACGGAGTGGGCGAGCCCATGACCACAAAACGAAGGACCCCGTCACCCACGGAAGCTTTGAAAGGCTTGCCCCTGAAATAATACGCGCGGCGGTGTTTGTACCAGGAGAGGGGCCGGCGCCCGTGTCGGCTCTCGTTCCTGCGAGAGTGGTCGCGGGGAGTCACACCACAGCGGGGCGGCGTGGTGCATTCAGTCTGGACGCAGTGAAGGAACAGCCCACGGGTGTGCGCTCTTCATTTCTACACGGAAGGGCGAGCGCACTCCGCGGGGGCGCTGAATTTTGCAGCCAGCCGAGGCGGCTTTGGTTGGGCACTATTCGCAAGCACCACGCAAGCAGGCGCGAGGCTGGCTAGAGTGCTTTTCCCCGGCTGTTCTGCACAGGAGGCGCGTGTCACTGTTAAGAACTCTGCCCGCGAGATTCGAAGACCCTACTATTAGGGGTTTAAGAGTAGTTAAGTCGCCATCTATATCCTGCTCCTCGAACTACTGAAATATAATGAAAACACCTGCGGCAGCAAGAACTCCGCAGCGTTGAAGCCCTTGTGACAAACCACAGAGCGGGCCATGGCTGAACAATCGTCGGTCCAGCGGCCGCTTTCGCCGTACTCGGGTAGGACCTGCAAAAGAAATTTCGTATCGTTCACGATTTCCGCTGGGACCTCCTCGACAAGTGAGTTGTTCGCAAATACCATATGACGAAAATATTCGGGCGCCCAATCGAGAACACCCTCTAGTACGGGCAACTCGCGTTCGCCTCCGACTTGTAGCCAAACGGACTGAGGCACTCTGCTTGCTGCTTCCTGGTATCCTGGCGCGAGCTTTCTCTTTGGACGAATCCCACGCGAGTACGCCTGCATCAAGGCCACCCATGTGACATCATCCCAAAGCCACCTGAACCACGTTTCCGTGCAGCTCACTATGCAGCACGGGCCGTCGCAACCGTGGTCAAGTTTGGAAGAAACCCAGTCAAGATGATCGAAAAAGATCGGCCCCACATCGTTCACCGATAACACTGACGCAATGTCGCGCGCGTAGCCGAGGTCGATTACAGAAGCAGTGACCTCCCTTCCTTCCGGAATGCCTGGCTCCCAGAAGCCGCCGTGCTTGATGTACATGCGGTCGGCATTCTCTCCACGAACGCGCAGACAGGACCCCACTCCGAGATACAGGAGATACGTGCCCAGCGTCTCCCCCCTCTTGTCATCCTCCTCAGGAGTCTCGCCTCCGCCCCACCTAGCAGCGCGCGTCTCATTCATCAGAAGTTGCCGCAGAGACCGGCTGCGCAAAGCAAAGTGCAGTGTGTTCTGTTCCGAACTCTTTGGCGTGTCAGAAATAATTTCGTCCGAACCCGAAGCCGGGCGCGGTGCTTCTGACATCATCCTCAGAGCCACAATAGCCAGCTGCGGCTCCTCGCTGTCACGGGCCGCACTGCTCGGGCGAAAACTGTCCGCTATTTCTACTGCGCCGTCGTCAGTGACTTCGCCCTCCCGACTGGAAAAAAGCGTGACACAGCGTCCGGCGCCACGAAGAAAGGGCGGGTCCTTGATAATGAGCGGAAGACGGTCAGAGGAGTCAGAGGAGCCTGAGTCGCTGTCGTCGCTGCCATCACCTGCGGACCCGGCGTTTTTGCCTTCCTCGTAGTCAGACCCAGAGGAGGCCGAGCCGCTTGCGACATCCATTGTTTTGGGAGCCGGCACAGGCGCATCGCGATACCTTTTGAGGCTCTCTGCAAGGACCTGCCGCCGCATACTCACGTCGAGCTCGCCGAAGTGCAAACGCTTCCCGTCCACAACTTTAGCAAAAACTGCACGCTTGAGGTTAATCAGCGAGAAAACCGCTGTACGGTTGCCACCAGCATTTGGGCGGGCTGTAACAAACTCCTTTGCCAGTTCAGCGACGAACGCTTCTCCGCTGAGCATGTTGCCGATCTCCACACAGAGGTCCTCGCTGCCGTCCTGCGCGAGCCACGCAGCATTCCCAATTACCATGGGAGCGCGCGTAGGAGGCGGAAGACAAGGAGGGTCCGCACAGACAGCATCCTGCTCGCCCGCACGGAGTTGCCCACCAGCACAGAAGCCTCCTGAACCCGTCATCGGCGTCGTGACTCTACCCCCTGCGGCCTCGCTGTCCTCTTCCGCTGCTTCTTCGATTAGGCCCAGGCACTGCAGCCGCGAGACCACGCTCGAAAAGCCCTGCCTGCGTGCCAACGTTATGAGCGTTGGATCCATCCGCAGCTCCGCCAGGGCTTCCTTGCTCTCCTCGATTTTGTCCGCTAGTCGCAGACATACTTCCTCTGTCTGCTTTAGGATGGCGATCTCCATGTAGTCCGAGGCCGGGACGGTATTCAATCCGGCCGGAACTTTTTCTAGATGCAACTTGGCGTCAAAGTTGTAGTCTTTGGGAGATGTCCCTGCATTTTGAGACGAAATAGTGCAGGCCTGCTGCTCGTCAAGCTCTTTGTTACAAGTAGTTGCACCCACGACCTCGTCGATGTCGCTGCCGGCCTGATGGCTCTGTCTCGCGGCGTACTCGTCATAGAGCGCGAGGCCGCAACAGTCCAAAAAGCGCAGACAAAGGGATGGCGAATGGCACAGGAGTGCGATCTTGAAAGGACTCCGGACGGGCTTCAGCACTGCGAGGTCGTAGTCGATCCGGTCGTCGCCTTCCTCATCTTGTTGCACGGACCTCCTTCGAGGAAGATCAAACGATGGCGAAAGAAAATGGTACCCCCCTGCCATGCCCCTGCAAGCGGTCTGGTCTACTCTGCTCGAGTTGAGAGCAGACGGAGGGACTTCCCCAAATTTTCCACCAAGAACGCCGAGCAAGAGCTCCGCTTCGCCGTTGTCGTCGAATATAGGCCACACCTCGAGGACCTTTTCCAGCATGACTTGTTTACTGGCCAGCCGATCTCTGTGCCCGGAACGGGTAGACGCGCTAGCAATCGAAACACGGGAGAAGAAATCGGCCGCATCGAAATGCGGGTGCCCAAGAATCGCCCGGACGATGACGCCTTGCGCCTCTTTGATGCGTCCATTCTGTAAAACGTCCAGCAGCAGCTCCGGGCCCCCCACTAACTCAGACGGAAGCGCGCCCACGAGGGGCGGGGCACTGCTTTCTGCTCCTTTATATATTCCGCCAGGGTGAAGAACGAGGTGACAAAAGCTCATTGGCGCCTGGCGGAAAACGGCGTCTACCACACTCCCGGGGGCGATCGCGTGCTTCTTCGGAATTAGGTCCATTGCAAGAGTGCGGCCGCCCGCGAATTGTGGCCGCCAGCACTCGTTCCCCCGTTTCTTCGATCCTTCTAACCCACCAGGAGCAGTAAGTTCTTCTTCCGCTGAAACCCACACGGAGTCTGATAGTGTGCTTCCGTCCTCGTCATCGTAGGCGCGGGCCTCCTTGGTACTGGGCTCCGAGTCTTCCGCCTGATGTCCCGCGTGTGTCTGTTTTTTCTGTCTCATGCTCATGCCCCGTGCTCGAACCAAGGCCACCCAGGTGACGAAGTCCCACCGCCCATCTTTGAGAGATTTTTTGAGGCCTTCAGCAACGAAATTGCGCCAAAAACCTTTCCTTTTTGGCTCCTCTGGCCACTGCTCGCCGCGTGCCACCTCGTCGCCCGAAAGGGCCGCTCCTATGTCCCGGGCATAGCCAAGATCAATCACGCGCGCAGTCGGCTTGGCGTCCTTCCTTGTGTCGCAGGTGCACTATGAAAACGTCGGAAAAGAAATATAGCGGACGGCCTGACTGATTCGTTGATTGATGTGCCTAGCATGAGGTGGGTGCAGAAGATGTAAAAAACTAAAGACGCTACACACATCTGTAATCCTACTCCCTTACCATCATCTCCACAGCTGTAGTGAGTTGGTCAAAGCTACGCGCCCCAACTGCCACATCACTGCCCCCAAGGACCATTTCGGTCAATGGGAACTTTTTAATTTAGTCACCCTGTGGTCTCTCTCTCACTACAATATAAAAGGATAAAGGCTTGCTTTCGCTCAGTGTAAAACTCCCGAAACTTCTGGGTGGCAGTCTGAGAGAAAACCTAGCGAAACAGGCCCACTTCTTTACTAATATAAAAGCGTCGTCGCCCCTGCAGGAGGCGGCTATTTCCCTCTCTGCTCTATGGTGAGTGCATATCTTAGTCATATACAGTATGAATATCATTACTAACACTACCCAACAAGAAGACATCCACTTTCTTCACTAGAACAAAAGACTGCCTTCGCATACACAATATAGACCCTCCGAGCAGCCAAACATGCAATCTTTTCCCGGGCGCCCTTCGGTCCGAACACGCTCTCCGCCGCCAAGCCGTCGTAAATAGTGACCTAACGACTTCCAGGTCACACCCCGACAATGCTTTCTTTCGTCTTTTGTCTCAGAGAGCAAGAATTCGCGTAGCGAGCGCGACCGGAGCGAAAAACTAAGCAGGGGACAAGAATGGGCGGCGCCATCTCCTTTCTCAGGAGAAAGCGAAGCTTGCTGCATTCCGTGGGACGTGCTGGTGTCCTGCTTCAGAGTGACGCGCAGCAGCTGCGCCTCCTCCTCCTCACAAGCTGGGTCGCCTCTGAAAAAGCTGTCAGGCAGTTCGTCCTGTGCATCTTCCTGCTGAAGCTGATTGAAGAACGCCACGCACCGCGCGGTGCCCCGCAGAAAAGGCGGATCTTTCACGATAAGGGGTAACGCAGCAAAGGCCGGAGACTCGAAGTCGAGTCTTTGGTACGGCGCCAGCGGGGGCGCCTTTGTAGGAATAGGCACTGGACGAGCAGTCGGAATCGGTTTTCCTGTAGTTGGTGTTTGTCTCTCTGCCCGCTGTTTCCTCATACTGGCATCGAGCGGCCCGAAATGCAAGCGCTGCTGTCCGTCCACTGCCCTGGCGAACACAGCACGCTTCAAATCGATCAGCGACAACAGCAGCGTGTTAGGAGAAGACCCGTCCTCAACCATTAAGAACTCTTTTGCCACTTCAAAAGTGACGCTTTTCCCGCTGTCTCGATCGGTGATGTCCATGCACAAGGCGCCGGAGCCATCGTCGCTGAGCCTTGCGGCATTGCTGCATGCCAAGGGCGCACGCGTCCACGGCAGATCGTGCGGCGGAATCAACTTCGCGTACGCTTCGTAGGATATTCTACTTGCACGACTGGTGCTGGATTCGTATATGCCCGAAGTGGGCGGCTCGCCCGCGCCACCCGCCTCGACATCGCCGTCGCGGCGCGCCGCGCTACTGCGCGGACTGCGGTCCACATTCTCGGCCCGCTCAAAACAAGCACCGAATCTACATTTATTGGCCCCTTCATTTCCGTCAAGAAAAGCGCCCTTTTTCTCATCCCGCGGGAGCGCACACACGTTTCCCATTTTTTCGGCTTCTTCAATAAATTATCTAACTCTATCGATAAATACAAAGACGAAAATAGTCTGCCTTTTCCTCATAATCAATCACGGCTACTTTGTTTGGCTTCGGCTTCTAATTCTTTACTAGATCATCATTATCATGATGCCTTATTTCTGAACAACCAAAATGAAAATTGCACTTTCAGCATTTACTTATTTTACGTAGGAAATGATGAATCACAAACACAATGCACGAAGAATCAGTGAACAAGATGAACCGCAACTACGTCTTACTACATTGACATGCGCATAGAAGTACGAACCTATCAAACTGATGCAACTCGCTACAACTTTTTTATACCTTACTTAGATAGATGCGGCTCAAAGAAAAGAGAAAGAATACACACATTAGGCCTTGAGACTCATTCTCCCAGTCGTGGTTGATGAGGATGGGCAGCAAAAAAATGACTGAGACACGGGACGCGGTGATGTTTGTTTCGGGTTTGAAAAAAAAAACAGAAGTTATCGAAGGCACTACTACCACTTACAATCACCTCGCAACTTAATCGAGACTCGTGCCGACTACTCTCCTCAACTGTCATCTCTCAGCTACGACCATCTCTCTCACAGTAAACACTGCTTGGTAGCGCTCTACTATACTCTCAACACCATGATGACCCATATTAACAGATATGCACCTACAGAGGATGAACACCGTAAGACACAACAGGACTCATCGTAACAGACTTCTCAGACATATGTGACAGATTAGTACAGACCACTCCGCTCACCACTCGAGGTGTGCTGAACATGCCTCCGCCAAACCCTAGTTAGTCCGAGCGAGGGGGAGGCCGCTCGCTTTGGACATGACCAAAAAGGGAAACTGCGTTCCCCTAGTTCCAGCACCTCTTCGACCTTTTGGAGAAGGAAGAAAACTGAACAGACAATGGGCGGGCCGACTGCTGTTCAGCCCTTCACTTCTACATCTAACACTACTGGAAGAGACTGTCCCCCCTGATACTATTCCAAAGAAAATAAGGAAAAAGACTCGCCTAAGGGATATACTTCTACATGTACCCTGAGCCATGATGTAAAACTAAAACCTGCAGAGTCAGGGGTCAGTAACTTCTGCTTTCGCCGGACAGAAGTCAACAGGACAGAGCCACAAACAACCGACACGCGAAAGCCTGTCACTTCCTCTCCGGTGTCTCTTGCTCCAAGATTCAATCCCTCCGCACGAAAAACTCGAAAAAAAAGGTTTCATTTTTCGGTATCTATCTTTTTAGCAGAAGTTGGCGAAGTTCTGCTCAAACAAGTAGTTCTAAGTGTTCAGTTATACAGTCAACAACTTCCGTCGAAGTGTTGCTGCGGCTTCGTAGTCTACTACTTGTTGATACCCAAATTCCTGGACCACCTTCTCCTGGAAACCACCTGAATTTCGTCTGCGTGAGCCGCTGCTGTACTAATAGTACTTAAATACGTGAGCTGCTATTCACGATTTACATCGAGCATGAACATAGGCTAAAGCGTAATCCAAGGAATCAACTGCGCAGTTGGTGCAGTGTTTTAGGCATCACCGTCAGCCTGTTCATTTAAACTTATCAATCATTCAGAGTGCAAGTACTAATTTAGTTATGGGATTAGAACAACTGCTATCTTCGTTTCTTGAAGATACTCTTCACAGGAAAATGAGCTTGAGCGAACTTACACTAAAAACTTCACCTTATCTTATTGTTAAATTCATCGGCTTCTTCGACTTCTTTTTAAGGCTTATCTTTATAATTAGACTTCATACTCTCCTCCTCGGTGGTGCCCAAAGGCTTTCTTCTAATCAATGCATAGGAGATTAATTGGGAAACCTCGCCAATGCAGATATTTATCATTTTTTGACGGTCATTTTGTCGAGTATGAGTGCTTTTTTTTATCTTTCATAGTGAAACATCCCCAATAGCTGCCTCCTGCTCTAGCAATAGATCGACTGGTTCATCATTTCGTTCTCTGTGCCTTTCAAGTGCTTACCCTGAAGGTGCTTAACAAGGTCCGCGGTGGGCTTGCGGTAGTCGTGCGTAGACGTATGCTGCATATTAGTTCGTCCAGGACATTAAAAACCAGCACACTACTAGGTTAGGAGTTGACCCACCTTGCGCTTTGTATTTCTGTCAGCACTACTGTATCAATACATTGTGGCAGCGATTGTAGCAGCACTACTGTATCGATACCTTGTAGCAGCACTACTATAACGATACATTGTAGAAGCACTACTGTATCGACACATTGTAGCAGAACTACTATAACGATACATTATAGAAGCACTACTGTATCGACACATTGTAGCAGCACTACTGTAACGATACATTGTAGAAGCACTACTGTATCGACACATTGTAGCAGCACTACTGTAGCGATCCATTGTAGCAGCACTACTGTATCAGAATACATTCTTAAGCTAGAAAGATCATCAATCTTAGAGGCACTAAGAACTCATCACTTGGACGAACATCTTACCCGTAGCCATTGCATTATGGCTTTCGTTCTCGTTATAAATCTATGATTCTCATCATCGTGAAGGGAGTAAGTTGGGTGCAAATTAACCGCTTATTTTCTTTAAGTGCTCATTATAAGTCTGTAATTACTTCAAACTTCATTTCAATCTATTAAGTTGTATAGTTATCCATTTATTGCGTTTGATGTGGCCTGCCATATTGACCTTTCCAAGTACTGGAGCTGTTTAATTCAGAAGTTCTTACCAGTTTTCAAATCTTGATTTCAACCACTTGTTTCTTGCTTTTACATTCTGAGTTGTGAGTAGTTCTTTTCAATTGCATTAAATAAGGTATAATCCCACTAGTACTACGCCAAGTACGTTCACGTTGAGTACGAAGGTGTAATACTTCTAGACCTACCTAGGAAAATGAGGGTATAATCGTAATTTTCGTTGCAGAGCATGGCCGTGGTGCAAAGCAATTGAATAAAGTGACTGTTTCTGTGATTTCGTTTCTTGTAAACCTAAGATCACGTCGCGAGTTACTTTACGTAAAATGAAGTGGTCGTCACCTCCCCAACAGACAACACCTCCATACTACGCATACATCAGTAGCCACCATATCAATCGCCTGAGCACCACAGTCACCATTTTGCTCTGAGTTGGTCCACATGCTCTGGCATCTTCCATAGCAAATCCGTGACCACCTATGTTTCTTGATGAGTAGAATCAATATCCCAGTAGTTCAGGCACCTCATCATGTGACTATGCATTTCGAATAGAAACCTATGCGTTGAAGTTGACCAATCAGTCTATAATCCCATGCACGGAAAGTAAAAGAAAGACAAAGAGATGCCTAAAACATTCTGTTATAGTGCATTTTCTATCTTACCCTCCTTCGTCTTTCTGTAGTTGTACTATGCTCTCCCCCTCCTTTCGCAATAGTTTTCAAATTCCAGTTTTCAAACTTGTACTACAATTTCTTCACTTCCTCCCCGTCGAGAAAATTCCGAAAAACGGATTTTGATTTTCCTCCTCTATCTGTCCTTCGAAAAATCTTATCTGTAGTTAGAACAGTCTTACGCAGCTGCAGGAGCAGCGGCAATGGCAGCAGGCTGACCAGCAGCAGGAGCAGGGTTGGCGGCCGCAGTAGCCGGCTTAGCTTCCGCGGGCTTCTCCCCTCCACAGCATTCATCACCACCAGCCTTCGCATTCGGGTCAGCAGCAGCCGCTTGGCCAGTACCTGCAGCAGCGGTCGCTCCAGCAGCCGGAGCAGCAGTCGCTTGGCCAGTGCCAGCGGCAGCGGTCGCTCCAGCAGCCGGAGCAGCAGCCCCTGGGGCAGTGCCAGCGGCAGCGGTCGCTCCAGCAGCCGCAGGCTTGGATTCAGCAGCCGGAGCTTCTCCTCCACCACAGCAATTGTCCTTATCCGCGGGAGCCGTCGCCGCCGGAGCAGAAGCCGAAGCACCAGTGGAGGCGGCAGTAGTGGCGACGGGAGTAGTGTCGACGGGAGTAGTCGCCGGAGCAGGCGCGACAGCCGGAGCCTGCGCCATAGCAGCAGCCGAAGTGGAAGCAGCATTTGCAGCCTCGTACGGAAAATGGCAGCAGTGCTCCTTGAACGGCTTTGTGCCAAGTCCGGTCTCCTGCGCGGTGTACATGTTGGCGGTCAAAATATTCTCGGGCTTCCATCATTAGAGGAAAAAGGAGGACTTGGCCTTTGGGCCTTTGTACTGGTAGACAGCACTCGCTCTTATCGCTAATCGTTCAACGAACAATTCATGACACTATGGTGTGGACACACTCCTATCACTATCGAAGTCGATCACAGGTAGGCAGACCTAGACACTTCTCATCACTAATGTCTGTAGATGCCTACTAGAAGGAGGACACTACAACTAGGTAGACCTAGACACTCTCTCTTATCGCTAATCGTTCAATAATTCATTCTATGCAGTATCATGCTTGTCCTCGTTCCACATGAGCAAAATAATCTATCACTATCTAATCACACCAGATAGGTGATCTGGCTGATCTTGTGCCTACATCTATAATGCACGAGATGACAGTGAGAGAGTATCTTCTAGTCAAGTTGGTTCCGTGGTCTAGGCGTTGGCTTGGTCACGACTTATCAGGTGTCGCCTTAACAGAAGATGTCCTTGTTCAATTTCAGCTGGTCCTCCAAGGCACCATATGCGACGTCCCGTTTTTTCTTTGCGTCTTTCAAGGCGACCTTCCTCGCAGCCTTGCCCGCCTGGTCAGCAGGTTTCTCCTCCTCGATCTTCTTCACCGCCGCGTCAGCGTTCACCCACGCACGAGACAGCTTTGTCGCTTTAATCAGGTAAACTTGCAGCGAGTCAGTCTCGCCTTGGGCGCGAAAATAGTACCTGCGATTCATTCATTCACTCATTTGCCTGTTCGCGAGGTGTTGAGAAGTTTATGTTCTTTAATATGTACGAATATGACAACCAAATAGTATTCGCCACAGCAATAATCAATGTAATAATTAGTACCCATCCGCAGCGCTGTGCTGGTTCGGCTTGCACTGATCGGCAAGAGCGACGAGCCTGTCGGCACGGTGTTGAAACATCTTGGGCGTCACTGCTGGAGCGGTATCCTCACCTATTTCATATGCTTTCATTAGAACAAGACCACAGTGCTTGTTGTACTATTCACCTCGTCGGCCCCCTCATCCTGATCCTACCTTTCCCGCTCTAGTATGCTAAAGGGGTCGTACCTAGCATCTGTTCTATAATGCTATAGAAGCTAGTACCAACTGTTCTACTTGCTAAAAGGGTACCGAAAAGAACCTTGTTTCCATCTCTGTTCTTCCATGGGAACAAGATGATGTCGATAGAAGAACAATCCTCTTGTATTTGATGTTCTATCAGTGATTTGAGATGCTGTCGAGAGAGGTGGATAGGGATGCAAGGTGGTAGCATAACTTCATGTGATCGGCGCAAGCGAACAATTTGATGGGATCGGCTGCGGCACGCATCTTCATCTTTAATCCCGACGCCCCCGTCGCGAGCATAACGCCCGTAGCGAAAACACCGCAGGACTTCGTCATTGTTTTTAAGATTTGAGTGGTAATAAATAAGTACCTTGAACAAGATGATTCGGATCTCTTCGACAGCTTCTGGTTTGAGTGGTAACAAATACCTTAGGTCTGCTCTTGTGTTGTACGTAGTTACAAAAACCAGAAGAGGTTATAGAAGTAACAAAAAACCAAGAAAGAAGTCTTAAATCGTGGTGTGTCGTTGGTAGTTACCGGAGGGTAACAAAAAAGTTGGGATTGCGCAAAAAGATCTGCTGGAATAGGATGAATGATGATGAAGGATGGCCATCACAAAAACCGTGGTCCTCAGGTATACCATTAGAGAACGAAGATAGATAATAGAACTGGCAGACCGCCCTTCTCTCTCGCTCTTGTCACATATAAATTTAGTACAAGGTACTAGTCTCTTAGATCTCTTGTGACAGATAGAAGTAAACGACCCTCACGGACCTCTCTTCACAGAGAGTACAGCAGGCGCTCAAGTTTCGTTTCTTCACAGATATAGTACAATGCAGTCTCTTAGGTCCCTTGCGACAGATAGCAGTACACGAGTCTCTTAGGCCTCTCTTCACAGATATAGTACAATGCAGTCTCTAAGGTCTCTTGTAACAGATACAGCTCACTGGAAATCTCTCAAGTCTCTTAGTTATGACGGATATAGTTCGCTGGAAATCTCTCACTCAAGCAATGCGTTGATCATCCCTAATCAAGATATGGCATCACAGGTCGTAGTACAGAAGTAGTCTCTCAGCCCTCTTGCCACGGAAACTCTTACAGCTCGGCTCTCTTGTCGCAGAAACTCTTACAACTCGGCTCTCTCTTATCACAGGAAGTCTTACCTGTACTCAGCTCCCTACTTATCGCAGAAAGCCTTACTCGGCTCTCTTGTCACAGAAAGTCCTTTGTTCGCGACTGAGTACCTTGCAACATCTCTTCTCAGCTCTCTTGAATCGGAAGGGGCCAACCTTTATTCGGGCCTCCCTGTTGCAGCAGGCCAGCGCCGCCCTTCATCACGTAGAATATTTCATTCGTAACAAGGAGATGAAGCAAAAACATAAATTGTTAATTCGTCAACATGGTTATCATTTTCGGTTCTCAATGACAATGTGGTAAGATGATGCGCATGCGTATGCTAGTCATAGTAAGTTAGTTGGATATAATTCTAGGAAGTCCGGTTCGGCTCCAACGTGCAGACAACCCGCGGGTCGTATACGGGTCCCGAGTAGCATGTATACGCTATCATAGGTAGTCTGAGTTGTTTCGAATAGGATAGGAATGGGTGCTCACCTTCCACAGGGTAAGCCTGTATCCTCGGTCGTGTTGTTCTCTGGAACATATCAAACTCACACTAACTATGATAGGCACTTGTTATTTGCCCATTGTCCTGTTAGTTGGCTCACTACTCCCCCGTCTTCGAGGTAACGAACGTTGTAGATAGGCACACTGCCCTGTTAGCTAGCACTACATGTTCATCTTTTATCATTTTTTCGTTTGACGTTAACCAGGCCTTTTGTGATGATGTTGGTATATTTTTCGCCTCTGACTCCTTGTCCGTTCTTGTCGGTCAAGAGTATGACTGATAATGGCGTGACGGATGGGCAGCAGCTACTATGTCTACTCAAGAAGTTAGAGATATTTGCTCATGATGGATACCCATTGGTTTAGATATTTCACGTCCTGCATCGAGTCAAGCTGCTCACCCCCCAGCACCTTGAGGGAGCAAGAACAAGATTCGAACTCTTGAGGGAGCAAGATTAAGATCCAAACTCTTGAGGAAGCAAGCTCAAAATCTTAAGCAATCAAGACCAAGAGCAGATCAAGACCAAGAGCGATCTAGATCTTGAGCGATCAAGATCAAGAGCGATCACGATCACGAGCCTCACCGCGCGAAAAATATCAACACATCAATTTGCTCCCTGCTCCTTTTTCTTCTGAGCTTCTCGGTCTGCGGAAGTATAAAATAAATTGTGAATGCTGTTTCCCAAAAAAAATACAAGAGCTGGAGGAAAGTTTTCATGTTGCAATGAAAAGCCCGCCTGATACAGTTATTGCAAAGCGGATTTTTGAATTATGTGGTTAGCCTTCTAGTTGTGTGAGGTTACATTTGTGGTTAGTTTCGGTCTTTTAGGTTAGGTTAGGAATCCTTCTGCTCGGCAAACGTAGACCCTAAGGGATCCTTCTCATCCAACCTAGAGCCCAAGTTCAAACTCCAGCTCAGTGGCCTCTATCTTTTTTTCGTAGTGTGGAGCCGCTTGAAGAGTGACCCTGGATGCTACACCCAACGATAAACGCACACAAAACAAGATAACAATATAATTCTGCCTTTATTAGTTCCAGTCTTGTTCAGAAGTCTTTACAGTTGGTATGTGATTAGCTTCTACTTAGTGTGCCTACAGTTCGTTAATACTACGCACATCGGCCTCATACACAGCATGCCTCCTGGCTCATGCTACAACAGCTCAAACGTTTGCCCCGTAGGAGTCTCACGGTCAGATTATGTAGCTAAAACTTCTGACCTAAAGAACACGAGCCCACGCCAGCCGGTGTAATTGAGCCTGATCTCAGTCTTAGAATGTACCCCTAGTAGATTTGTTTCTAGTACCTATCAATTTGGTTCTAACATGAACAAATCTGAAGGAAATAAGCGCCCGACACCGATATCAGTGCAGCTCCTGTGTGTCCCTCAATCAAGACTTCTATACATGATTGATTAGTGTTCCCTAGTTAGTAACTCTCCCTACTTTATTCTTTTAGCCTCTTCAATTTTTTCTGCAGGCAATCGCTGTTTGATGAGCTTTGTTATTTCAAGTTTTCAAGTTCCAATACATACCTATATCAACAATTCGCTTCAAACAATCCAGCATATCAAGGTAAATATCAACAATTCTATGTATATCAACAAGTCGTGCTTATACTTATTGGCGTCGTTTGGGACTGGGTTCCTCTAGATTCACGAAGTCGAAGATGGAGGAAGATAAATAAGATTACACGTGGTTCGTAATTACTTTTTTTATAACATTAAGATAGACATTACACTTATTCATGAAGATAGTCATATTCGTGAAGATCTATTGATTTGTAAGTACTTGTAATTCAGATGCAGTCATACATTCTCGGGTTATTTGTTGTGATGCTGTAACTCTCTTTTTGCTAAATTCCATAATTGTATGTAAGTGATTCCCTGTTTTGTACTAGACTTCTTGTGGTTCTCGTTTATTCGTTATCGCTTTCTCGCATTTGTTTCGTTCTTGCCACTACTTTCTATATTTGAAGTGATCACTCATCCTTCTCCCTGTGATCACGCATCACGCACAGAGATGAGCATCATCTTCACCTTAGAGCATGACACATCTTCACACGATTAGAAATATGAATCACGATCGGAAACTCAATGTCAAATTACATACATTTTTACACATCCCCGATGTGCGGTCCGCCCACTGCGGTTGAACTTAAAGAGATTGCCCCATTGAAATTCCCTAAAGCCACCTTTCGTGCCTAGCCTAGTAAAAGGATAGAAACGTGACCAACTGTATCTTGTCCACTCCTCTTGTTCTGAACCCGCCTTTCTTCTAGCAGATCCTCTTTCTACTACATCCTCCTCCTAGAAGTAAATCCTCGACCTACTTCTAGATTTTATTAGGGCTGACACCAATTCATTTCTTGCTGTCATTTCTTCAGCATATCCCAAATGGGAAACCGGCAGAAATGGCTTGTAAAATTTCAGAAATGTATTCTTGAGCCTCCTTAATTCTGTAGTAGATTCTCTTTCTAGCATTCTAGCAGCAACCATCCTGTTTCTTGGGAGGGCTAACTGGCTCCACAGGCGTGGCAGCTGCAGCATCAACTTAGAAGATGTCATATTGAAACAACAAATAATCATTCTCATACCTCAAGAAGAATAATCTTATCGACTTGCATATCTTAGGTCTAAGGCTCATCTCCATCTCTAGGTCTTTCAAGGGTTTAGGCGGGGGCGAGGTACAAGGTTCATCTACATCTACTTTCGTCTAGCAGTGAAATTTAATACTTACTCAGGCAAAAGCAGGAGGACGCCATGCGTTCGCTTCACGTTGCGATCCTTACTCGATCACCTAAGAGGCCATATTACATAGAAGCTCTAGCAAACTAGCTCCTAAGTAACTTATAGGCAAGCGCTCAGGAGCTAGTGGCATTGAAATTTAATACTTTAGGATAGGATAGGAGTGGGCTCCCTTATGGATAGGATAGGATTTGATTCACCGTCCACAGTTTGACCTGCCTCCTCGGGTGAATATGTGAGCGTAGGCAAAAGAAGAAGTAAAGTGGTTCATCTTTAGGTCTAAGGCCATAAGGTGCATCCTTTTGCGCATTCAAATCGGAATCGGGAGTCTCAGGAGCGGAAGGAGCGGCAGCTGCAGCTTGGCCCTGGCAGCATTGTTGTTTTAGAGGTCAACACAACCATGTACTTACTATGTACTTAACTCTCTTATTGAATCTATGTTGCTCAGATGCATCTCCACTTGATTGTGGTGGAACGGAGACCAGAGGAGAATAATGTATCGCTTTTCATTCATTCATTCGTTACGCGCACAAGATCTGCGTCGGCTCCAACGAGTGGGCTAGCAGTAGTCGTGATGTCCGTAGAGAAGTAGTAATCGTGATGTCCGAAAGTGATCATATGATGAATGTCATTTTCAACAGTTTCTTCACTCGTCTCATGTCGACTACTCTGATTTTCAACAGTTTCTAAAGTGAAATACTTGAATTAGGAAAATATATTAAGACGCGAACGATTATTCACAAGTTCTTGTTCAGTATAAATATTAGTACTTTCGTCAGATGTGTAGTAGTGCAAGAGCAATCTTGAATAATAACGAGACTTACCTAGGACGTTTCAAAGTCAGTATTTCTATGGAATAAATTAAAATTTGTAAGTTGGACTTCCTTATCATGCCAGTAAGTATGCTCGCCGTAAATTTTCGAAGGTGTCATTCCCGACTCCAGTGTAAGTGTTCGTCGTGACGTACGTCTTGGCGTCCTTGATCATCTTGTTGACATGCGACTTGAGAAATTGGAAGAGATCTGTCTGTTTCGCAGCCGATCCCTGCGCTCCTTCTTTGAATTAGCGACATATGTTGACAAAATTGGGAAGAAACTGGATTTTTGATACTGGTACAAGGACAGGGCATAGCCTTGTCGGTTGTAAGTAGTACGATAAAATATTAGTACACCTAGAAACGAGGTGACCTATTTGATGCAGCTGTCTAAGATTTCACTAAGAGAGTTGACATATTTCTTGGCATGTCAGGGCGCCTCTTGAATAGAAATTTATGTTTACCTATGAGGGCACCCAGTGAAGCAGTACCTCTTATTTCTTACGAGTTCAGAATTAGATAGATGAGGAAGATGATGAAATAGCCCCAGTCTAAGGATACTTAGAACGAATGAATCATTTTATGGGAGCAAAGGGAAAGACGCATGCAACTATGGTACTAAAGCACTATTGAGTAGAAAGATGTATACTCAAAAAATGTTGTCCATAAACGGTCGATTCCCAAGCTCGAGCGAGTTCAGTCGCTTTCAGCAAAAACAAACTCTGCTCCTCGTCAATGCCCTTTAACGCACCATTTTCCCCGGGGCACTTTTTTCCAGCGGTCCACAATTTGTGCGCCATTTGACGGACCCTTTCGCGGTGGGTGCCCTCCAGTAGTGTTTGGTAATTTAGAGCTGCTCTTGACCATCATGTATGCATTGAGAAAGATCATTACTGTATTAGGCTATGTGCAAATGACCCTTTATTCTAGGCTATAAACTAAATCAAGATTTCTTCGGTCTATCTTTACTGTATTAGGCTATAAACTAAATCAAGATTTCTTCGGTCTATCTTTACTGTATTAGGCTATAAACTAAATCAAGATTTCTTCGGTCTATCTTTACTGTATTAGGCTATAAACTAAATCAAGATTTCTTAGGCTATAAACTAAATCAAGATTTTCAACCCAAGGAAACAGTCTATGTGCAAATGACCCTTTATTCTTGAAACCGAGGGAGACCAAAATCCTCTTTACACTTTCTCAACTGCATTACTTAGTCCACTAAAAAGGGGCCTTAACTTTGTACTCGGTGCGAAACCCAATTGCGAGGAGCATCTGTGCTTTTTCGGGGGCATGAAAAGCGTGTTCAACTGCAGCGCTGTGACAGACTCCAATAGGAGCGCAGAGGCCAAAACGACTTGTCCTCGCACCATTTTCGGGATCAGAGGATGAAGAAAATGAAGAAAGCTACGAGGGATGAAGAAAACTACGAGGGAACAACAGTACTCGCTGTACCTGAGTAGTGATCGGATCAGGCTTGTCGATGTTGTTCGTTGCTTTTTGTTCTAAGCTCTCCGTATTTTCTTGGTTTTTCTAGAAGAACACAACCTCCAATAATAAGTCTAAGGAAACGAGGAAACAAATCTAGTTGTAGCTGAGTGAGAACTGTAGAAGTTCGAGTTCGGGAAAAATGGTGGAAGAGAATAAATCTCGCAATAAACCTCCTGTTTTTAGTGTTGAGTTTGTAGCCTTAGAACGTATGATGTGCGTTTAGCATTAATAGAATGATAAGGCTGGTGGAGCAGACCTAACTAGAAAAAACAAAAACCGAAAGAAGAAAAGGCAACGCCAAGCAGGCACTTATCTACTAATGACTAAGGTCTAACCAGACAGCTGTTACTACTAAGGTCTCACCTTCGAAGGCAGACCGGATAATGATACTTTCGATCGCTCTATCATGCATCATGTACCTATAATCATGTATCATGTATCAATACACTATCCCTCAAAATAACGACTCATCTCGGAACCCCTCTACAGAGAATGCAGCACTCAACAGAATAATTTGTGCAGCGATGCTCCCAGAAACGAGTCGTGCAGGATATCTTCAGCTCTCCTCCAACATGACATGTCCTTATCTTCATTCAGTCTCCTTCTCTCTCTCTCTTTACAGACATGTAGTTATGTGCTCAAACGGTCTCCTTCTCTTTTGACAGACATTTGCATTTGGTCGTGTTGTACGTACTCAGACGCTCTCCATATTTCTCTTTACAGACATGTTCTTGCGACGTACTCAGACAGACATCTCTTACTTGGCTCTCATTTTACAGAATTAGCTCAACGTCGTCCTATACTAAATATTGTCAAAAGAAGCAGGATGATTCCAGGAGGGCCCGAAGAAGAAAAAAAAACGAATGAATCATCATCATACGTCTCTGGTGGTCATTCTTTACCACTAAAAAATCAACTAAGAGAGTATTATTTTCTATTTAATACTAGCGTGGCTGTATAATCATCATCTTTATTGAGCAGTAGTACTGGTGTCCATGGTCTTCCTCCGTCTCATCTTCATAAGCGCGTCATGGTCCTCCTACTTAAATCTTCACAAGCGCCTCTTGGTCCTCCTACTTAAGTCTTCATAAGCGTCTCATGGTCCTCCTACTTAAGTCTTCATAAGCGTCTCATGGTCCTCCTACTTAAATCTTCATAAGCGTCTCATGGTCCTCCTTCTTAAATCTTCATAAGCGCGTCATGGTCCTCCTACTTAAGTCTTCATAAGCGTCTCATGGTCCTCCTACTTAGGTCGTCATAAGCGTCTCATGGTCCTCCTACTTAGGTCTTCATAAGCGTCTCATGGTCCTCCTTCTTAAATCTTCATAAGCGCGTCATGGTCCTCCTACTTAAGTCTTCAAAAGCGTCTCATGGTCCTCCTACTTAAATCTTCATAAGCATCTCATGGTCCTCCTACTTAAGTCTTCATAAGCGTCTCATGGTCCTCCTACGTAAATCTTCATAAGCGCCTCTTGGTCCTCCTACTTAAATCTTCATAAGCGCCTCTTGGTCATCCTACTCATCTTCATAAGCGCCTCATGGTCCTATTCACCTGGGGGCGTAGGGTCCTCACGATCTGAGGCACTGGCACAGGATGCACTCTAGTATTCAATAGCTTGTAGAATCAGTCGTGACGATCTGAGGGTAGTTTTTGCAGAATCAGTGCTAGTTTCGCGTCCTGCCGCGTTTGCCACGCTACGCGTCAGCGGCCAAACTCGGTAATATGCGTCGTGTCGGTGAAGCCCGTGTTCTCCATCTCAGACCACAAGTCTAGGCTTCTATTTGCCCGTTAGAAGTAGGTGAACGATCTCGTGTAAAAATATGGTGCGACGTTCGATAGGCGAAGTCTTCGAAGAGAGCGACTTGGGTTTGATAGACCATCGACATTTGTTTGCTTTTTGAGCAACCTTCGACAAGACCTTCTTTTACAGGATCTTCTTTTCCATCATCTTGCTTTATGCAGTTTTCCAAAAGGGCTGGTGAAAGTGTGTTGGGGGGGTGTTCGATCACAACAAATCCGCCGACTTTTGCTTAGCGTGTGCTAAAATGCATCGCGGTCCCCTCATCTTGGGCCCTTTTGCCTTGTATCTCATGAGAAGATTACAAGGGAAAAGGGTACCAAGATGCCGAGAAAGATGGGTAAAAGTTCATCTTAATTTAAGAGTTTATTCACTCCTCGTAAAAACGTTTCTCCATCACGAAAACCTCCGCATTATGAAGTAGTATTAGAATTACTAGTGGCTGTTGGGGTCTTATTGGTAGAAAAACTGGGAGATGAAGAAGAACTCGTGGTAGTTGTTTGCTTTTTGAGCAACCTTCGACAAGTTTTTTTTTTTTTGTAGTGCGAGCGAGTTCCGATAAGTCAGAACCCAAGGGAGTTCCGATAAATCAAATCCTACCTGCGTATTTTCCGCGTGAAAACGTTTCTCCATCACGAAAACCTCCGCATTATGAAGTAGTATTAGAATTACTAGTGGCTGTTGGGGTCTTATTGGTAGAAAAACTGGGAGATGAAGAAGAACTCGTGGTAGTTGTTTGCTTTTTGAGCAACCTTCGACAAGTTTTTTTTTTTTTGTAGTGCGAGCGAGTTCCGATAAGTCAGAACCCAAGGGAGTTCCGATAAATCAAATCCTACCTGCGTATTTTCCGCGTGAAAACGTTTCTCCATCACGAAAACCTCCGCAGCAGAAGAATTTTGAGGAACACTTACAGCTCATCGAAAAGGATTCCCGCATCCACGAATAGCTACCAGTCGTGATCAAGGGAGGCAATGTTTTAGACACGGCGTGATGGGCCATTTCACTCACCGGGAATGAAGACGCTTCCGAAATGACGCTACCTTCTTTCAACAAGTTGGCAATTGCATCTATTCCGATATGTCTCACTTGTACTAACGACGACAGCTCATACAGTGAAGGGAGTAGGCTTCTAAACGTTGCCTCTAAAAATCGGATCTCTTTTGTTCCCCTTGGAATGACTCACAGGCGTCCCACCTGTTGCAACCTTTCCTGATATTAGCCGTAGAGGAGACAAGTTCCTCTGAGACAGTGCCTCTGTAGTTATAGACTCGGTGGATGACTTCGCTCTCAAGATCGAGTGCTTCTAGCCGCTAGATAGACTAGGATGGCTTCTCTCTCAAGATCGATGGACGATTAGGGTGGTCCCAGGCTTCTGCTGCGTACCCGAACACTTAGTAAATTCAGTAAGGCGTAATATTCTAGCGGGGTGTTTATTCTTTGCACTAATATCATTGGCCTGAAAACAACTAGGAAGGTTTTTGGAGTCGGATGTCCAGAAAAAAGTAGACTGGACCCAACTCAATACCACTCAGCACCATAAGCTTCAACACGATTATGAATGGGTTCGACAATAGTTCTACCCAGTAATCAGTTGTACTTTACTCAGATGTTGTCGCACGTTAATCAATTGTACTTTATTCAGTTGCGCCTTACTTCTCAGTTCCGGTTCCGCTTGTAAATTCTGACTACAAGTTAGTAGACGTGCCTTAGTTGATCCTAACTTCTGAGTGTAATTCGTTCCTTGTGAAGGTGCTCGTGTCTCATCATCTAATTAATACACAGGACTCTGGTCAAGAACCTTAAACAATTTATTCCGACTCATCTTAGCTCCAAGTTCAACAACATGCGAATAACGAGCTTCCTTCAAATTTGTTCGACTGGGTTAGTTAAGTATCTACCTTTGGAGATATTGATGTAGTTGCGCACTTCCGTAAGTCGATCTCCGTAGAGCAAGTTCTTGTAACTCAACTACATACGATTCCGAAAGTTGCAAAAACTACATGACTAGCACTTTAAAAATGACCAGTAAGAATAATCCCCGGGCTACCAAGTTCTGTCATCAAGCTTTATATAAACTCTTCAAGGCACGACGTTGAATATCATCTTCACTGTCGGCAAATTACAAATAGGTGGTGGACTGTAAAGCTTCATCCGTCGGTGCTCTACTACTTGAGGTTATTTTCATCAAGGCAGCACCTTTTCTGCTTCTGCTTCTTCATCTTTTCCACACCTCGTCCTTCAGTTTCTTCTCCAAACACATCATCATCCTGCATCTTCAGCCCTCCTTTTTTACAGTAATGCTCATCTTGTAATGTGGGCGCTTCTAGTGCGGTCATGATAGATTCATTTCAGCAATCATCTAGCTAAGAAACTCTCTATGCTTCTGCATCCACCTGCACCGCATAAAGACGCTTTCAAACTCGTCATCTACTTTGCGCCTCCACCTGCACCTCCTCTTACGCAAGAGGTGTTCTTCAGGCCTCCTTCTGTAGATTCTTCTTCAAAATCACATAGCATCGAATTTCTACCGATTTTCGAATGAACCCCAACCGCGTCTCCTCTACGTCCGTTGCGCCAGAATGCGGAGTGGACCATTCACTTGGCTTCCCATGCGAGTCCCACGTGCGAAACATCAACGCTTCCCCAAACTTCATGTGCGGATAATAGTACCAATCCTGATGCCCGCCGTGAGCAACAATGTAAACCTTGCCAGTACGAGAGATTTTCTCCTGTCCACCAGAGGGATCATCCTCTTTAAAATACATTTCCTGGGTATAAAGGTTGTCCATATCTGGACCTTCAGCTGATGTTGGCTTCTTGGCCACGCTTTTGAAGCTCCTCACATCACCCACAACAAGAGGCTTTCCGATCACATCGCCCAAAGGCGCCCAGACATTGAGGAAGCAAATGCGATAATCAGAAGCAGAGCCAGAGGATGCGGTAGTGGACGTTGTTTTTTCCGATACCATTGGCAGTTCATGATATACGAAGTCTCGAAATTGCTTTTCTGTATTGAAAAAGCAGTTGGATGGCGATCTGATGCCACCAGACACGCCAAAAGAGGAGCCTTCATCCTGTTCCTGTGCTACATTTGCACACGCGGAGGTCCATGTATGCTGTGCTGCCTCTTTCCCTTCCAAAACTCGCTTCATCCTGGTCAGCCCACTCTCCTTCGAGAAGTCGCAATGCGCTTGAGGAGCGGGAGCGCCCCCAGGAAAGCCATCCACTGGCTTACTGTTTCTGAAGGTGAAGTCGAAAATTCCAGCATGTACTGGTTCCCATGAAGTTGTTTCTTCACGATTGTGAGCGTGACCTTGTTGATCATGTTTCAAAGAATTTCCCACATTCTCTACAACTGCACTCAGCGCAGCCGGCAGAAGTTTGCTGCGAACAAAGCTCTCCGTTTCGTCGTAAGTCTTCAACTGTTGATTGCCATTCACATCCGCAACAGGAGCAATCGCATTGTTCTTATCGTCCTTCAGAACATTATCATTGTGGTCCTTGAAAAACAAGTTGACGAGCCTGAAACCGGCTGTGAATAACTGCTCTTCTTCTGCTAGAGGTTGTAGGCTTTTACAAGAAGCTGCGGACGAGTCCTTTCTACCTAGTCCTCCTGTTGAGTGAGTAGGTCCTCCGCATAGAGGTCCGCTCATCCTTGCGTTTTTCACCAACACTTTCGTCTCTTCCATCCTTACATTCTGGACTGTGTCGTAGTGCTGTGCCATTCGGGACATAAATTCGTATTTGTTTTCCCAATCTAATTCACAGTCCTCTTGTTCCTCATATTGCGCACGATCGTAGCAGTAGACATAGAGCGGCACTTCCCCAGTCTTCTGCTTCTCATAGGGCTTCACAAAGGGAATCGAAAGCACCGACTCAGCTGCTTGGTCGGAAAGGTTGAGAGCTGCTTGGACGTGTGGATCTGACAGGAGAGGGGATAGCTGTTTGCTACCCTGGTGGCCCTCGTCCTGTACAGGAGGATCACCAGCAGAAGAACTCCGAATTGTTGTAGTAGAGGCCATTGTTTGTGACAGAGGGATGAAGAACAAGCTTTGGAAAATGGTGCTATACGTTGTAAGGCGAAATTGCAAAAGGAAAACCAATGACGAGGAGATAAAACTAACGAGCGCTGGTAGATGGTAGATTACGATGCAAGGCAATGAGCGCGATCGTGATCAAGATGAACTATCTCGGGGAAAGTAGAACACTAGTGCGGCTTTATAACTTTCTACTTGAGGGTCTTACGAACTTATTGATAAGATTGATAGGATCAGGAACTTTTGAATTCTATGGATCTAGCTTGCGATTTTTGTTCTTTAAAAGTGAACGCAGTACGCAAATACATGCAGAATGCAAATGCTATAAATTCTACGTGGGGCGAGTTCGTTTCAACTGTGCTACCCCTAATAAATTCTGGATCTAGTCTAGTTCTTGATTCTATCAGAGTCCCGCTTTGATTCTAAAAAACACTAGATTACCAATCCCAACCTTCGCTTGCTGTTCCCTCAAAAAGTAAGCACCTACTTCCAAAAAAAAACAAAACTGTCGGGGCAATGAATCATGCACGAAAAACTTATAAATTCTAACCAAGCTATCGTATGCAGGCTGGTGACCTCTGTGGTTCCAAGCTCCTGCTGCGTACTCGAACACTTAGTAAATTCAGTGAGGCGTAATATTCTAGCGGGGTGTATATACCTTGCATTAATATCATTGGCCTGAAAGCATTGGGGAACCGGTCAAATCTTTCGGCTATGCCTATGCTGTTCATCATCTTATTCAATAGCTGAGCACTTTGGTGCCCCTCTCCACGTTCTTGTTTGCTTGCTCTCTCTCTCTCTCTGTCTGGCTTGAACAGAACCACTAAGTTCACTCTATACAGAATAGTGTGGGTCCATACTGACCACAATTAGTGCATTTTCAAGTCTTAAGTCAGCAGGAGCGCATACTTCATTCTCTGGAGGCCATGCTGCATGCGTGGGTGGCCAGAATTCTACTCGGCCAAAGCTGCCCTCGCTGGTTCGCGTCTTTTTCGAAAAGCAAAATGCCGAGACTGCAACTCGAGAAAAAATGCTCGATTCTCTGGAACATTATATATATTCAGCGGAATATAAATGAGTAGTAGAGAAAGTAAGAGAGTAGGACAAGAAGAGGGGATAGGATGAGATATAATAGAGCTACTTGTATTCTAGCAAGAATCGGTGACGATAGCTGTTTTTCCAGAGTTTCTCTTCAGGGAGTGTTTCTTAAAACGACCTTAGATTCTATCTAGTACCTACTCACTGAAAAAAGAAAATCTGACGATTCGCAATAGCCTGCAGGGAAAAAGCCATAAAAACAGTGGCGTGGGGAGGATGTGTTTTGAACTTAAACGCTACCGGAACCGGGGAACTGGATCAGGAGGCAACTAGCGGGTTAGAGCAACATGGACTGAACTACTGATCGTCTCTCAGATCGTCATTTCATGTCATGGAACCTCGTTTGTAGCTGTGCATGTCTACCTATGAGGTCACCCAGTAAATAAGTGCCTCCTATTGGAGCGGAAATTTACCGGTTCCTTCTGCGTCTCTCAGATCGTCCTTCGGATATTGCTGTTTAACATGAGTTGATCCAAAACGATAGAGGAACGAGCATTGGTCACATCTCCACCTCTGGATTCCATTCGTAATATTCTAAGACGACCATTCCTCTCCTGGTACCGATTCCACTCGAATGAAGTAGACCGAGGACAAAGGTTCACTAGGGTCAGTTTGCTAATGTCATGTCATGATACCTCCTCGTATCACGTCATGATACCTCCACGTGTACAAAGGTATGCATGCTATTGTCCCTGTTGCCACCGTTCATGGAGGACAAAGGTTCACTAGAGTTAGTTTGATAATTAGGATTAGGATTAGGATATTGGGTCCGCCGTCCACAGTCATGATACCTCCTCGTGTCACGTTTTCGCTAACGTCATGGGGGCCCTTCAGTCACCCACCCTTGAGAATGTTAAAACAAGTACTTCATACAAGTTCATCGTCGATTCACTTTCTTGTGATATATTTTTCAAACTATCCGTGTTTCATCTTCAAGAAAGGCGTCTTCCAAATAGTAGCTCAACTTACAAGTACAACAACAATCTATTGAACTTACAGGCCGCGATGAACGAGAATAGAAATAGGTTGGTAATAAAAAAACGAGTCTCAAGCGAAATACAAAAAGGATTCAGTTTATGGCCAATATTTTGGATACGGACTTCAACTTGTCGATGGATTGCTTTCATCCCAGAGACAGTACAACATCTTGACTCAACTCTCTCAGGTGCTGCATTTAATTTTCAGTACAAATAGGAAACGCATGGATGGATAGTACAGTAGCTAGTTGATGAAATCCAGTGGTCGCTTATTTTGGAAAAAATAGAGACATAGACAAATTGAGAAACTAATAACAAATGCATTCCGTTATACGCTTCTCAGCCACGACGTCTTCCATTGTGGAGTTGCACTTCTGAGCTACATATTTAATGACTGAGGTGGAGAGAAAATCGGAGTTACATGAGTAGAGAAGAGATACCGAAAACAAAATGATTGGAAGCAAAGTAGACTACTAGCCCTGTAGTGCATGAAGTCTAGATGTAGTCCAGCAACTTGTTCTTCACCATAAGGTCTGAAATCTGATCACTCCGTTACGCTCCTAAGCCACGAGACATCTTCCTGATTCAGCACGAATGCCAAAGCCCGTCTGAAAGCTTCGCGGCTTGTGTCGTGGTCAAACACCAACTCATAAACTTCGTCCGTAAATTTCAGGTGATATTAGAAACCAGCGCTTGGTCGAGCACAAAAAGGGTACTATGTATTGGAGAAAGACATCCAAACTTCTACCTTGATTACATTTTGAAACTACAAACAGGTCGTGTACCACCTCTTTCTACCTTGATTACATTTTGAAACTACAAACAGGTCGTGTACCACCTCTTTCTACCTTGATTACATTTTGAAACTACAAACAGGTCGTGTACCACCTCTTTCTACCTTGATTACATTTTGAAACTACAAACAGGTGTACCACCTCTATACTTCCGCCATAATAGAGTGACGGCTCATCCACCTGGGTGCCGAGCTCCACCTCCAGAAGGGTAGATAAAGATGCATGAAACATGCTCCGAAGAAGCTGGTCGTGACACCAGTGAATCGATTTTTTCTTCTTGTCTCGCGCGGTCACGTCCTCTTGCTTTTAGAAGGTATCTTGGAATTCTAATACAAAGGAGGAGATGAGCAAAAACTCAAACTGCGTAACTACATCTATGGAAACAACGCGCCATAATCTTTCACCACCACTGGCATGCCAAGGGAGTTTTTGACGATAGTCGGCGTCTCCGCACTCAAGCGCGTCGTGCTTTCTAGGATGTACTGTCTGCGGGCTTTGGCGCGGACGTCTAGTATTAGAAAAAAACCCGCCTAAGAAAGCTAGTGAAAGTGGCTTCAAAACTCCTGAACAGCCAACGAGTAGCAACAACCCACCAAGTATTGAGAATAAATGTATTGATCGGATCAAGCTTGGAGTCTTTCCCTTATATATAATAGAAGCAGAGTATTTTTGAACACTCACTCCATGGCTTGACTTTGGGTTTTTACCTTAGATAGTCAATCGTGCATGAAGTGTGAACCTTGTTGCCATAAAACTAGTTGCTTTGTCTTGTACTGCTTCTCCTTCTCATCATCAGCTGTTGCGTTCATCAAATGGTCAAACTCTGTCTTCTCCCTAAGTCGACTCCGCTCAGCGTGTTTCTTCTGCAAAAGAGATTAGATGTTGGACTAAACACACACTCTGCAAAAGAGATTAGATGTTGGACCTACACATGATGTTGGACTAGACACACAGACGCATGTTGGCCTTCTCCAAATGATGTATCAGTCTGCGCCAGCACCAGACAGCCAAAACAAGAAAGTGGCACCTTTCGTCCCATAATCTAAGTCACCTTGAATGACATCAGCACCACCAGTTTCTTGAGCAGCAGCACCTTTTCGTGCGCCTCTTGCCACTACTTCTGCAGCCAACTTAGGAATCATGCGACCACGTAACCGGACTCGGATGCCTGATGAGGTTGTATTTTGAGATGAATAGGTAGTTACTTTTAGGAGTAGTAAGAAGTAGCGTAGCAGCACTTATAGGACCGTTACTTTTGTTAACTGCGTTTACGGATGTTACAGGACATCTACCAGAACCGAAATCCAGTACACAAAATGACAAGAGTCGTGTGAGTAAAAAGATCACAAGGAAGCTCCTTGAGGGAAGCTTTTAAGAGATTCAAGCCAATTGCTTATACTATAACTACTAATTTCTCAGTACTTTCTTGTATTGCTGCTCCATCCTCATCGTCTTCCTCAAACGGCGGTTGCCAGTAGTTCCAATTGACTTTGAAAGCGAAAAATTCCCCTTCCGTAAGTAGGAGTAAGCCGGATTCCCAAGGCTTGCAGGTTTTAGAGAGCTGTCATCGCATTCATCAAATGAGTCATAAGAACATACTGAGAATGACTATGACAGAGTTTTTAGTATTATGACTATGACTATGACTATGACTATGATATACTGAGAATGACTATGACAATGACAGAGTATATCAAGACGAGTTGTACCAAGACGAGTTGTATCAAGATGAATCCTCATAACATACTCTTCCGAGGCAGCTTGGAGTGACAGCTTCTCGCCAGTCCTAGGGAGATCCAGGTTTCGAGTCCGTCGAAGCCTACTTGCCACTTGTACGGTTACAATCTGACTGTCACCCACACGGAAGATGAGACCACTCTCGGCGATCTGCAAAGTGTTGAAGATGATGGACTAGGATTGAAGAGGATGCGTCAACCTACTCCTACCATAGCGTACTAGGATTGAAGAGGATGCATCAACCTACTCCTACCATAGCGTACTAGGATGATTGAAGACCAATGTTAGAAGAAGTATCCGAGCAAAGAGGACACACTCAAATTACGACGTCTTCCGCCGCACCCAAAACCGCATCTTCCGCTAAGCCGCATTTTGAGAGGGATTCCAAATTATCCATCACTTTTCTTTTGCCCATAGCTGAGAGCTTTAGCTTCAACAGTTCGATCTTCTCCACAAAGCCATGACCGTTCGGCATAGGGTGCATGAAGCCTAGAGCCAACGTTTGCGCCATGCCATCTACTATGCGGCAGAGGCGTGCGGATTAGAGGAGTAGAGTGATTTGCGGGCAGAGTACGAGAGTGAGATCGCTCTAGTAAAAGTAAGGACTTGCTCCGAAAAATATGGTGAATTAATCCTAGCAGGCTCAACTGCTACGTGCCATAATCAAATGGATACTGCCACAGTATCCTTGGCGTTTTAGGGCAGAAAGCCTGCGTCGGACAAACGCCACAAGGCTTCGCTAGCGCAGGATGTAACCAATATTTTGCACGGGTCGTATCCTTCTGAAATAGCAGGATGCGCTTCGTCGATACGCAGAGAAGCAAATGGCTTTTGCAAGCTGTTTCAGGCGGTCCACGCTCATGATGGTCTTTTGTTGGAGCCATTTTGTGGTAGGGGGAATCGACGTTGGGGTATGAAACCTCCAGTAGATGCAAGACGCGCTCTTTTGTGGTAGGATGTAGCTGTATCGTCTCTTGCTGGTAGTTCAGGAGAATCTCGATGCTGGCGGTATAGAGGTCCGGGTATTAGAGGAAGAAATGTGAGGGATTTTAGATAGTTGTATTCTTCGTTAGCATACTCTCAGAAAAGAGAATCATCAAGATGATAGTTGTACGTCGTAGGATCTATCGTTACAGCATCAATGGCGTAGCGCTAGAACTAGTAAATATTGTATCCGATAATTGTACTGCACGTACGAAACCACCGTCCCCACCACTGCGTTTACTTTTTCAGACATGTTGCTCTCGTAAATTTGTGCCAAGTGCAGCAATTGTTGCAAATAGGGTAACCTTGCGACGTCCGGAGCATGATTGAAACGTTCCAGGATGTCGTACTTCAACGACGGCGAAAACATCATCACCTGCGCCAACAGCTCTAGTGCAAAATCTAGCACTGCTACACGGCGGTTCCCGCTCACTGCAAACTCATTGGATATGCGACCTCCAGACGCAGATAGGGAGTCTAAACGCAAATCGTACAAGCAATACTCCACGAAGTCCTCCATTGCAGGGCTAAAAAACTGGTAAAAAACCAGGTTCAAGCACTGCAGATGCACCAGGTGATAGCGCGCGTAGGAAAACTGAGGCAGGGCACTCGCAATCTGGTGAAAGCTGAGCAAGAGTTCCAGGGCTAAAATCTCCTGTTCCTCGTTGAGCTTCACCTGCAACTTCTCGTACTTTCTGCATCGGGGGACTAGCATAGCGAGTAGTTTCGTCAGATACAGTTGCCACAGATGTTAGAGTCGTGGGCTTGAAGACTTTTTACGGAGTCAGTTTGGTGGACTTGAAGATTTCATCTCCTAGTTTTGCGGGTGGAGGAGCCATCCGTTTCCTTTGTTCTTTCAACTCACTTGTTAAAAAAATGAGTCTTCCTCCTTCCTTCCTTCCTTCGCCTTAAAAAAAGAGTACATCCAATCGGTTCGTTGGGTCTTTCGCGGGTAGCAACTGCCGGATCAATTCCAAGTCCTTTGAGCCAATCTTGTGGGACATGTTGAGAACTCTCAAAAGTTTCGCCGCACAGTGGAATTCAGTCATGTCCGGTAACCCGTTCACGAGTTTCAGCAACCTCTGCAGCGTCACTTTGCCTTGCACCCACTTCATCACTGCTTTCTTTAAGTTGTGAGCACAGGGAACGAGGAGGAGGACGGGAGTTAGAAAAAGTAGAGCATTAGGTGGAGGAGCAAGTCAAGATCAACTACGGAGGTGAAGCTGACGGGAGTTAGAAAAAGTAGAGCTTTAGGAGCAAGTCAAGATCAACGGAGATGAAGCTTAGTTAAGAGTCGTTGCGTGCTTTACTCTACTAGCAGGAGACCACAGGAGCCACGCTATATTCATCTTCCGGACAATAACAATTAGATCGCTTATTTCTAGTCCTACTGGTTGTCATAAGTATATCGCTCTCAGAAATGCCGCCACGATTGCGTTCACATTACACCCCATCTCCCGTGTCAGCACCGGCTTCGTTGAGTCTCCAGCCGATGCACCACCTAGTTTCGGAGGGACTCTCTCAAATTTGGGAGCCCTTGCCAGCAACCGCTCAAACCTCGCCTGCCCCTCGCTGAAATAGCTCTTGTGCACCTCTATGTATTCCTCACGAGAGTAGTCGTCCTTAATCGTCTCCATAAAGCTCCGCGCGAAAATATCCGTGGTTGACTCAGAACTGCGGTTAGCAGAATTGGAAGTAGCATAGGAACAAGTGTAGAATAGATAGAATAGCTGATAAAAAGGGCTGATAAAAAGGGCTCCGAAAGACTACCCATTTGATGTCACATGCATTTTCACCTACGAAGATGTTTTGTACCCGCGTCAAAGATGAAGAACGAGCAAGCAGTACTTAGTAATACATCACAATGAAATCCAAATGTTGCCTAATCTGAGCACCACCCATAACAGACATATTGTTCGTCTCCACGTTGTCGCGGTTTTTCGCAGACGCCAGAACAGCCTCCATATCCTCGAAGATGACCTCTTCAGCGGTTTCTCTTTCCCTCTGCTCCTTCGCGAGTTGTGCGACTTCGTCCGACAACTTGTCCCCGAATTCATACACCATTCGACCGAACTCCCATGCTGCTTCTGTTTTCTCGAGGGATTAGCAGAGGAGGAAGCTGTGGTGGACGAGGTATGCTTTTTTGGTGTGTGAGGTTTGTAGGGATGGGTAGGTTGGGGTCAAGAATGAGAGGGTGCAATCAAGCGGTCAAACAGGATGGGTAGGTTGGGGTCAAGAATGACACGGTGCAATCAAGCGGTCAAACAGAATAGCAGGAACTCTACGACTTCCGCCAGCTACTTAATTTCATCCCCATTACAACTACTTAGGACTACGCTGTATACTATGCTACTTAAGTACTCGAAGAAGACTAAACTAGGACTAAACTGATGCTACTTAGGACTACGCTATACTATGGAAGAACTGATGCTACTTACTCCACCATAATGCTATACTTAGGACTACGCTATACTATGGAAGAACTGATGCTACTTACTCCACCATAATCCTCTCCTTTCCCTGCTAGTTCACCCTCTAGGTAGCTGAGCATGATGTCTAGCCCGTGAAACGTTGCGAAGGCCTGATGCTGCGCCACTCGGTCTTCCCACTCTTGGTCGTCCAGACGGCGCATTAGGTCGTAGATGCCTTCCGGCTGAAACATCTCCCTCTCTCGCAAAGCCAAAACGTCGACGTACAGCCGGCCATCAATCACGTCGTGCTTCATTTCGCTTAGCTATGATAATTTGTGAAGATGTTGGTGAGCTTTGCCAGGAGTAAAAAGGTCGGTGAGGGTGTGGAAAAACCTTAAGACATCAAAAAACAAAACGAAGACGACTCTATAAGCCAGCCATTGAGAACAAGTTGTACCGGCTCCACACTGTCAGGTCTCCCCTCTAGCACATCCGCAATGCGAACGAAGACTCGAAAAGCCTGCTTCCCCTTTGCTGTCAGCTTGCTCGGTCCGGAGAGACATGCCAAAAGCGCCTCCAAATTTCGGCCTGACCAGGTTCGCTCCACGAAGATATCTTGGTCCATGATGTCGGTTGGATTAGATGCTTCATCAATGAGAACGCTGGGCAGTAGAGAGGAACAACACGAGAGATCTCTAACGTCAAAATGGTGACTACTTCAAAGAAAAATTTTGAAATACTGACCCACACCAAACAAAAGTGAAGAGTGGCACTATTTTCATAACCACATTTTCTTCGGTTTTCAGCAGCGTCGGGAGTGCATCGACAGATAGGTGCGGGGCTCGTAGGTGCGTCCGCATCGCTGCGCTGGCTGACACTGCGCGCAAGAAATCAGGGTATTAGAACTGGTTACTGCACACCTCTACGAGACTCATATGGAATATTCAGAGAAGACCCGCCTATCCTGACGAAGCTGATCTCGATTAAAGAAAGTTACCTAGTAAGCATGTGTGAAAAAGGATGAGCAAAAGCATCCTACTGTGTCTGCGACCGTGCTTAAATCACCCTTAAAGACATGCGAAATTCAGCTTGGCTTTCACGTCGGCGTCGGCTTTTGAATACGTCACAATGTTGCTATTCTTTGCCAGGATGTCGAAGACATACTTGCTTGTCTTCTCGACGAATCTTGATCGAAAAACCTGGCTCGCCACACTACCCTCCGCAACGCATAATGCGGAGATTAGAGGAAACCGCAATGAGTGGGTTTTAGGCATTATTTAAGACGAGGGCATGTGGGGTATCCTTTCAGCTTCATCCAATTAAAATTAGTTTTCTTCGTTCCAAACGCACCAAAACGGGCAGCGGATGACAAAGACTACTTCCTGGCCTTAACCGCAGCTGATTCAGCACAGCCTGCAATAGCCCGCTCTGGATCTTTTGGCCGGGTTTGGATACGTCCAGCATATCCACCAGAAATGCGATCTCTTCCTCTTCCAGTTCATCAAGACTCACGCACCTAATACATCCCATTACAGCCTCTTGCACGAAGCTGTCGGGGACACTGAGCAAGGAAGAGATTAGAAAGACACCTTTTCATCTTCTATCCAGTACATCCAGTACATCGCAAAGGAGTACACCATAAAAACAGCAGTTTCTCGCGTCCCTTTGAGTTGAGAATCTCGCTCATGCGATCGCACACTGCGTCTTCGTTGGCCAGCGAGGTGAAAACTTTGACAAATTCGACCAGTGAAATAAACGCTTCATGCGCAAACATGTTGTAGCACATGGCTAGCGGTGGTGTCGTGATTTAGAGAAAAGCTAGTGTTGTTCGTAGGTAAATTGCGGACGGTTAGTGTGGTAGTAGTTTGTACTTAGGTAATAATCTATTTCGTGGACGACATCGCAGGCAAAGCCGTTCTTCGAGAAGGATTCTCGAAAAAGAACTGGACCAAACGTTCTCACCCGTTGAGAAGACAACGCGCAATCAAAGGATTAATCAATCACAGCCTTAAACGATGACCTGCTTTTGTTCGCCACTTCCCTTTCCGTCAGCATTTTCCAATATTGTGGCACAGTAATCGTACAATGCTTTGTACTTTTTGCCACCCATATACGGCAAAAGAAGTTCTAACACTCCCGCTGGCTTCTCAGCAGAGGCACGAATAACGTCCTCAATCCACAAGTCGCGCAAACGGGCAGAATGGTTCAGAATGATGCACCTGTAACAAGCATGCTTCAGAATCAATGATACACCTATTGTAGCAGTAAATTAGCAGTAGTTGTAGTGTGATTTAGTACAACTACGTGCAGCCTCCACTTGTATATTATAACAACTCTGAATGTAAATAATTAGTTGGAATATTACCACAACCTTGTATATAACTTTGAATGTACTACTAAATTATACTCGGAATACAATACCACAGCCTCAACCCTGCTGATAGCAAACGAGGTTCCGCGATCTGCTGATTGATAAGATCGATAGTGTATGGCAACAGCCGTTCGATCACCCCAGCCTCTGTCTTCTGTTTCGATGCTATGAGATTCAGAGCCTCCGTGCTCTGAGCACACATACTGGCAATCGCATCTATCAACAAGGATATCATTCCGCACGTGGGCAGGGGCATATCGGCCATCGAGGCTACCCGAGACAGTTGCTGCACCATGGCTGCCCAAGTTTCGAGACATGGCATCAACACCCGCACCGACTCGACCGGGGCGTACGCAATCATCAAACAAGTGACTCGCATGTAGTCGCTAAACATCTTTCGCCTGTCTCCAGTTTCCTCAGTGCCGATTTGCTTCTCCTGAAAAGTGCGGAACAGCATGTCAGGGATCGTCTCTCTTGCGATTGGCAGAGTCGCCATGCTGCGGTTGGACGTGCGTTAGATTCTAATAGTCGTTGTTTGCTACTACGTTGACAATTATAAAGGATATTAAAAGGTGGGACGTGCATTAGATTCTAATACAGGTAGTCGTTGTTTGCTACTACGCTAATTATGAAGGATATTAAAAGGTGGAAGAAACTACACTGGTGCATTAGAGGGACCTCCGGTAGTCGTTTGCTACTACGCTGACACAGACTTCTCAAGCCCGATTGATATGATTCCTAGAGAGTCGTTTCCTGAAAAAAATGTAGTGGAAATTGATTCTTTTTCGTAAATACAATGCTTCAACAGACAGACGAACTGCGGACTCATGTGAGCACGCTCGTTGACTGGGACATGCGAAGCCACGTCCGCCTTGTAGAATTCGCATAGACAACGAACCACTCGCGCCATTTTCCGACTAAAGTAACTGCTCTGCTGGACGTAGTTCAAGATGATGCTCGACCTAAAGTACGGCTCCGTCGGTCCGAAGAAGTTCAGCCCAGTCACTAGAGTTTCCGCAATCTTCGTCTCTCCCGTATTGTCCTCGTCCTGCCACGTACTAACGGTTTGTAGTTCCGGGATCAAAATTTCTTCCACCAAGTCTAGAACCTCCCGTTCTTGCGCTCGTCCTAGCTCGGACAAGCAAAACAAGCACTTGGTTCCAAGCTTCCCCGTCGCTGCACCGTTCACCACTGACAGCTTCGCCAGAGTCCGAAACAATAACGGACTCACAGTACTAGACATGCCTGAGCAACGTTCATGCAACAGACGCACGCTTTGGCAGAACTCGTCGCTGATATTTTCATCATCTGCATTTTGCTGCATGTGCTCCCGCGGCGTCATTGTCCTGACCCAGCGTGCAAATTGGCCTGCGGTCATCCGGTCTCGACCGAAAATCTCCTGAAAATTCTCCTGTGGCGCAATCGCTATCTTCCCTGCTAGTCGGAAGACGAGCTCCAGTTGCTGAATCACTGATCCGCCGTCAATCATTAGGGCAGTATTTCTTGCAATGTACGCTCCTTGAAATCCCAGAACAATTGAAATCCACGACATAGAGAAGAGACCATATTACAGTAGCGGCATTTACCTTCCTTTGCCTTAACATCAAAGCGTCCTGATAATAGCTCGTCAGCGTACGCAGCTCTGCTAGTCTCTGCGGTTTCGCTGACGCATGGTCACTAGCGGTTTCACCATTACCGCCTTCCCCCCCACCCTGATCACCACCTGAAGAAACCATACCACGTCCTTTTCTGTCCTCCGCACCGAAGAGGGCCATCTGAGCTGGAGCCATATTTTCCAGACGCTCATTGAAAACCATCGACAGGTGCGCTAGTTGCAAGAAACGCAGACACAGAGGATACTTGAAAGACGAAGCTGTGGCTAGCAAAAACGTCTCCAATTTCGTGCCTTGTAACCGTCCATCCATCAGCAAGAGGTCTCCTGCTAAAACCTTGATATCCTCAATTTCCGCGGTCGGGTCTAACGGCGGCCCTCCTTTCGCCGTAGACGCTCTGGCGCCCCCCATGATCGCAGTTTTCAGCACCGGGTCCTTCGCATAAGCCGGGATATCCGTATCGGCTACTACTTTCGCCGACGTCGGTGAGATCAACTTCGCGTCTAGGACGTAATCCTGCAGTGTCTCTCCGTCTGGAATGTGCACTTCAGTGACCAGTTGTTCGTACACTTCGATCATGTGGGGATCGATGTTCTTTTCGGCAGTTTCACTGCCGTCGGCTGCTCCTCCAAGTGCTATTCGGTCTAGCTGCTTCAAAACCACGCCGGCAGCGGCTAGGAAACCGTAGAGGACGCTCTGGTACTCGGGAAAAAGAGCACAGAAGGGGTTCTCCGCTATCTTGAACATGCTCAATTTTGTCAACCCTTGCAACCTCACGAGAGATTTCAAGAAATTATTCGGGTTGTTCGCTATCAGGTTCGCACGCAGGTCGACTTTCCTCAGTTCCTTCGCTTTCGCCAAGTCTTTTCCGAATAGCTCGGTCTGGATCCTGTTGTGGTTCAATATCAACACCTCCAACGAAGGCAAACCGGTCAACGGAGGAATTGAGCTCAACTGGTTGCGACCAAGATAGAGCTCTTTCAACCTCGGCAAAGCCAACTGCAGCGAGTCGGACAGGAGGAGATTGCCCTTACAGCGAAGGATTTTCAAACTAGGGAAGTCTTCCCCGCGTAGCTGCGCCAGAGAGGTAAGCTTGTTCTTGGTCAAGTCGATGCTGATGACTTTGGATGGTGATTAGAGGTGGGCAATCGTTTTAGACTCATCTTTCCTGAATCGATAACTACAGTAGTCCTAGGCCTTAGCCTTTTGACCCGGTAACTACTGCAAATATTCAACCCCCGTGTCAGGAATGAAAAACTCTATTTAAAATCGCCTCACACTTAACTCGACAACGGTGCAAAAGCCCGATCCTCATCGTGCTCCTTGATTTTGAGAGACACCAGTTCAAACACCGCATCCGAGAAATCCAGATGTTGGACTCTCTGCGAGCGCCAGTCTGGTCCAAGCTTAGGGGTTACAACTTGACCTATCCGGGTCGCATATCTATGATTTCTTTTCTTCCAAGAAACGTCATGAATATGCTCATACATGGATACTTCAAGGTGCAACCCTTAACAAGCAGGGCTACCAGAAGAGCAACATCCAATTCCTGCACTATCTCATCAGCGGCCTTTGCCACTTGGTCGTCAAAAGCGGACGCGGTTGAGGGCGCCATTTTATCGAAAATCGGTTAGTGGTAGTGCTACAGTCGGACTCGGATGAATCTGTAATGGAATCGCTCAGCGATCGGCTCGTCGTGATGGGTGTCGCAGTGCAGTTGTCGTTGTGGTAGTGGGTGCTCGTGGTGTTTGTGGTAGTAGGTGTCGTACAACTTCTGTAACATGTGACTCTTTCTGTCCTGTTACTTTTTGTTCATCTCCACGACCTCCAGGTCTGTTCTTTATCAGTAGTTGCTACTATGTGTTACTGCTTCACCGTCCGTAGCAGTTGTATCTTCAAGTCGAAGTAGTTGTTCTCACCATGCACATCCATGTTTTACTAGATAGATAGATAGATGTACCACTAGAACTTCACAAAATCATGCTTGATAAATTCTTCGTTGTTTACTTCTTCATCCCCATGGTGTACTTCTTATGCACAATAATCTCGTTCTTATTCAAGTACTCTCATATCAACATTGGTCCTGTTCGTCCCATGTAAAACGACTAAACGATCGGAGGTTTCCCACCTTCAGTGTCACCGGATCCACGTAAGGAAAAGAAGCTTCCACGACCGGCCAAAGGACCCGAGGACCGGCCAAAGCTTCCGAACAAGCTTCTCGACCTCGAAAACGAGGACCGCTTGTTGGAGGATTAGAAAATGGTAGAAGTTCTAATAACTTCAACTTAAAAAATACGTCTCACTAAAGCGCCCTAGACGTAAAACCACACTATTATATGCCGAGGCGTCAATTTTTCGATATCTTAGATCTTCAAATACAAGATACTTCATTTCCCCCAAGAAGCCTTAAGACGACGCTGTGGGTAACCCTCCAGCTTCCAAGGAGGATGCCAGGGGGTTACTACCTTCTAGCGGACTACTACTGGACGTCCGAGCCGTGGATGTGGATGAGGTCAGGCTGCTACGCCAGTCCGTCGCTGAGATTCTGCTAGAGTACCGATCTTCGTACGACGAAGAAGACGATACTCTTGCTGTGGAACTCGAATCTCTTCCGGTGCTAGACCCAGGTCCTCCCAATAATTAGAAGGTCGGTAGAAGTCTCATTCCCCACTGATGCTGAGGGGACTGAACCCCCTACACAGACACGTCTCACCTTTTCCCTTGTTTTGGTTTTTCAAACCTTGTGCTGTCAGGGGGTCGTCTCCTATTCTTCGATCCCCTTCAGCGGAATCTAAGTGACGACCAATGCACCAGTCTGAGCCATAAAATAAGCTAGCGAGGATCTGATCCTTTTCTTTGCGCAATGAGGCTGGGTAGAAGAAAGAACGTGTACTTTTTGACGTGGTCCAAGACCCCATGCGCCTAGGAGCAGATGCACTTCGCCGACCTGAAGGCATTTTTGTCGTTCATCTAGGTTTCAATAGCGGTGGAGATGAAAAAAAGTTCGAGACTGTGAGTTACTCGGATGAGATGAGGAGCGAATCGTTTGATGAGAAGTAAGTGCGAGGAACTACGTACTTGGGATTTTACGTAGATAGCATCTCAACCTTGAGTTTTGCTTCTACAAATTTTTTTGAAGATATTACAGGCGGAGAAAAAAAAGAACTCCAATTCATTGTAGTGGTGGGAGTCTTGCAAGTAAATCAGGTACCAACAATGTTGATGGCACGCCTTCCGGACTAGTGGTCTACGCTCACGCCGTCTCTCATTCAGAAGCCAGCCCTCACCTCATCGCCATTGTGTGTCAGCTCAGCTACAATGACCACTCAAGACTTTACATACAGAGGGCCTCACCTTGTCATTCCTCCAATTCATGCTGCCATAGTACTCACGAGGACATCAGTGCAATTGCACAGTTGGCTCAGTGCCTTAGGCGTTGGCCTGTCCACTTGTCACACATTGTATCGGCCTAGGCTTTTCTACGTATCAGTAGGAAGGTGCTGAGCAGGTGGATAAATCAGACACGGGTTTGACAGTCATCGATGAGCAGTGATGTTTGACCACTCACGTTTGGCCAGTCATGTTTCAGAAGTTAGTAGTAGTAGTTTACCCATTCTAGGGGTAAGTAATTCAAAAAGGGGAAAGGGGGTGAGGGGTGAGGGGTTAACGTTCAAGTTTACAATGCTTGTCCTTGTTCTTTTTTCTTGTGTTTGCATTTGGTTTCATGTGCACGCATGATTGTAAAAGTGAAACTGAAGATACTCCTCTTGAGGTTACTCATGATCCTTTGATAACAACTAACCTAAAGGTACTCATACTTCTGAAAGAGTAACAACTAAGTTTAACTAGCTTCTTTGTTAAACCTGAAAGGGTAACAACAGATATTTGCCAGTTTTTTGCTATTCCATTCCGTAATATACTATGACGGTGTCACCATCAATTTTGCAAATAATAGTCACGTATATTAGACTAGCAGTTGCTCAAGATAAACAAGCACTCTACTCAAGTTTGCGTCTGGCTCGTTTCTTCATCTCTTTTTTCAAGAAGCGGCAATCGAAAAGGGCTGCTTTCTACTTAACCTGAAATGGCTGCTTTCTACTCCTTATCCCCTTGCCCTGAAAAGGCTGCTTTCTACACCTAAAGCAACTACGCAGTTTTCAGCCTGAAGGCTCTTAACAGTCTTCCCGTTCCTTGTACAATTAGGGTGTTGCTTCTAGAGTGGCTTCTCATAGTGTTCTTGAATCGCAATAGAGTTCGCTATACTATCAACTTTTACATGTATACTATGCTCCCACATAATTAGTGCCATCCTCCAACTCGAGTAGCATTCTATGGTTTTTCGGAGACCAAAAAAAAAGCGCGTCATGATCCTGGTGCAAAGTCTTGTCTTCCGCATGCGTGACTCCCGTGGCTCTTGTGGTGCTTCTTTTTTAGAGCAAATATATGGAGGCTGAAAGGTTACACAATGCCTATTCTGTGATCTATTGCTAAGCATTTCGATTACGCCGAGCATTTGCCATCTACTACCATGCCCGTAATAAAACTAAAGCCGTAGTATTGTAGTTTAGTGGTCTCTCGGCGTTGTCTCTCAAGGAACCGACTACAAGGCCAGCGCGGCGCATTCGTAGCAGCGGGCAGGAGAACAGAAAATGGGCCGGATATTTTGTAATTGTAAAAGGTTACGAGTGCAGGTTTGGCCGAAGTCGCCCAGGTTCGTACTGGTTTCCCTGTCGGGTTGTTTTGGTCTTGAGGGGGAAGGCGTGAAAATCATGGAAGTAAAAGTAGGCCAATACTTTATAACAGTAACACCATAGAGATCAGGAAGCCCATCGAGATGCATCAATTCACTTTTTCACGATTTTAAACAGCACCAGGAACAAGAAAAAGCAAAGGAGTCCAATATTTTCCGAAAGAGTGCCGGGGCGTGATCATCATTTTTTTATTTGAATGGAAACACGAGCGAAAGCCAGAAAGATGCAGACTTTTATTTTGAACAGTAAAGAGCACCAGGGGCGGACCTATGTCATCGATCGACTTTAGGTCTCTATTCGTTAGAGCTTAACACCATAAGAGCGCGGATAAGTTTATTGGTAAAGGATGCAACTTTTAGAACTTAAGGCATTAAGAACTTGGGGGATCGGATTGGAAGCGAGACAGGACTTAGATCGCAAGACCCTACTACGTGCCCCATGCCTGTCGAGCTTCCAACCACGAACACAACCCAGCTAACACCGCCAGAAGATAGCAACGAAATACATGCAGGTAAAACAAGGCAACCCAGAGCGAAAATAGTCAATCAAGATGCAAAGAAGATACGAAATACGATGCAGATAATGATAAAAATAGACGAAGAGAACGAGAGCGATCGACTTATAAATATGCAGGAGACTGGCGCAGGTGAAGCTAAGTTATATCAAATAAAAGACGGAAGAACGACGACAAAAGTAACGCGATGCATATAAATAGAACGAGAGAGAAGTAAGCGAATACATAATGCCCCTGGTGCTATAGATAACGAGTAAAATAATGCATCGCGATGCTACTTCTTTCATTGGCGTCCTCAGTCTAGACATCCCCAAAATCCAGACCATCCCGATCCTCCGCAGGAGTGCTTTCTTCTTCTGCTGCTTCTTCTTCTTCCTCTTGCTGTTGCTGCTGTGCGGCTGGTGGCTGTGGCGTTAGTGGCGCCCTTCCTTTGCCCACCGGTTTCCCGTCCTTTCCTTTGCCTTTTGTTTGTAAACGCTGGGGCCGTTTATATTCACCCTCAAGGTGATGCGTTTTTTATATAATTCCCGGCCTGTTTCATTGGTGCAAACCGTGAAGGCCTTGCATGATTCTCATGCGGTTGCAAAGTTGTCAAATGTGTGGGCCTTCTTGCTCATATGTAACACGATAAGGACCCACATCATTGGCATAGTGTTCCAGTGCTGTGATCTTTGTCACCATTGGACTGCAATGACTTCCATCATGTTCATGCAGATGATCTTCATACTCAGACGACTAGGACCATCATCTTCGTCTTCTTGTTCTTCGTCTTCTTATTTTATACATTGGCAGAACAGGGGAACTGGATCGCCTTTGTCTCCCTTGTCGGAGCCTAGCCTACCCCCGTCGCCTTTGTGCGCTGCGTCCTTGCCGCTGTCTCCTTTGGTTACTTCCGGCTTACCCTTGTCACCTTTGCCGCCTTTGCTGTTGTTCTTGTCTCCCTTGTTCTTCCTCTTGTCGCTACCCTGTTTGACTCCCTTGACGCTGCTGCTGCTGCTGCTGCTGTGTTCTGGTTCCTGGTAAGGGTGCCGGCGTCGGTTCTGACCATAGGACGGGCTAGGCGACAAGATGCAGGCGGTCTTGTTTTCTTCGCGAGGCAGATCGCGGCCGCCTGTTACTCGTAAGAGCACGCGATGGGAGAACATTCCCCAGCCGCCTGCTTTGTGAACGAGGGCACTATAGTCCCAGAGTAGCGCCTTGACGGTGCCAACAGCTTTGCCGATCTCCCGGCGGTAGTGGTCAGATGCTGAATTGGTGTTAATTCGCATCGTGCCAGGCTGTCCAAACCGTTTCGACCTGAGCGACGTGACAGGCAATACGGAGGCCACAGGCCTGCGCGAATTGAGTGCCCGCCGTTACAGCTCTGAGCCGACGCATCTGCTGAGAGGCGATTTCGTTAAGAGTCGCTGCCTTCGCAGTCGCTGACTCTGGAAGAGCTGGACACGGAGGACACACAGCAGAGCAAACAGATCCTCGCTCTGCGATGGCGATCATCGACTGAACCCACCCGGGGCCACTTCTGTGAGCTTGGGCCGGGGGGGCGAGAGAACTAGAAGCCGGCACTTTGTTGAATGTCGGTTCTTTGTATCTTTATCCTAGGCGTAGTCTAGTATGCGTGACGTGGTAGAATAGATAGTAGCAATAGTGTACAAAATATCCGGCGGGAGAGCACAAGTCTGAACACGTGTAGATAGTCAAATGAACGCAGATTAATAGGGTGAAAAAGAGAGGGAATTACACGCAGACAACTGTTTAAGACTTTGAAGAGAGACGAGCTCACGCAGACACTACTGGCACCATATCCGCGGTGGAAATCTAAGCGGATAGATAGCGCAAAAGACTAGCAGACCATCCGAAAAGAACTCAAGATCCAGAAGATTGCGGCGCCGGTATGGGGATTCGCATTCTCCTGAGGATCATCAGAAACCTTCAAAAGCTCAAGCCTGACGCAAGCAGATATAGGACGGAACGAAGTGACGTCGCCAGACCTAGTAGGCACCGCCCACCTATATAGAGGCTAAAGTGTCTGAGTATAGGTGTCTGGTCCAGACTAGGAACTGGACAACCGTCACGAGGGCGATTGAAGTGAATGAACGATAGTAGAGCTTGCAGAGAATTGATATCGGGTAGCTCTACCAGTTACTTACACGCAATATTTTCCGAAAGAGGGCCGGGGCGTGATGGAATGGAAACACGAGCGAAAACCAGAAAGATGCAGATTTTTATTTTGAACAGTAAAGAGCACGGCGGGCGGGCCTATGTCATCGATCGACTTTAGGTTTCTATTCGTTAGAGCTTAACACCATAAGAGCGCGGACAATCTTATTGGTAAACAATGCAACTTTTAGAACTTAAGGCATTAAGAACTTGGGGGATCGGATTGGAAGCGAGACGGGACCTAGATCGCAAGACTCTACTACGAAAACTATCATAACGAATTATCTCCAAGCTTTTGCCCACAGCGTGTGAGCCTCCGTCTCCTAATGTGACTACTACTACTACTACTACTACTACTACTACTACTACTGGAAGAGCCTCCGATCTGTTCCCTCAAAGCGTGTGCTGAAACAGCCGTCGCTGGGCTCTCGTCATTTGGCACAACCGTCGCCAGGCTCTCGCCATTCGGCAACAGCTCCCGTCTTCTAGTACTACTCACGCAGGAGTCGTCTTCTGTCGGGTGTTGCGTCTTCTTGTCTTCCGCTCCTCCTCCGAAGTTGTGTGTTGCGCTTTCGGTCTATACGCTCTACCTTGTTGATTAGAGGGCAGCACTATTTGGAGACAACAAAAGTTGCGGCGTCCATAATCGAGAAGAAGCCCCCGAGCTTTCTTTTTTTAATGCCAACCGTCCTGGCATCAGCTCGCTCAGCTAGCCCCATGAGCAGAACTCACCGGGGAACTCCATGAGCATGCCCCGAGCCTCTCCGGGAGTTCGATTCCCGCATGGTGTGAACTCCATAGGCAGTCTCTCACCTTCTTCCAAAATATTCACGCGAAAATAATTCCCGCACTTATTTAATTGCTTTAAAATATTCGACAAATATTCCTAAACATTCTCCAAGTACTTCGCTTGCAAATATTCGCAAAGTATTCGAATACTCTCAAGGCAAAGAATTACAAGAAAAAGACCACCGCAACGCCTACGACCAAAAACCTCGCAAGGGTTTCCCGACTCTCCTTATTGGTTTCACCTCCTAACATTCTCCCAAAAGATTGGCACACCCAGGGGCGTTTTCCTTTTTTCTTATTCTCTAGCACGTCTTGCGTGGCCGTAGGCAGCCAGGGACGACGGGGCATGGGGTTCCCTCTTTGGGGTGTTCGCCCATACCACGCGCCCGACAGGCCGCCAGAGGGACGAGGGGGCATCGAGTTGCGCTTTTCGGGTGTCTGCCCATACCATGCGCCCGACAGCGTGCGAAGCGTCGCGCGGCGCGTCGTCCCTCGGGCGGCCGTAGGCCGCCAGGGACGACGGGGCATCGAGTTGCCTTGTTCGGGTGTCCCCCCATACCATGCGCCCGACAGCGTGCGAAGCGTCACGTGGCGCGTCGTCCCTCTGGCGGCCGTAGGCCGCCAGGGGCGACGGGGAATAGCGTGACCATTTTGCCCCCGCCCCCCCTTCTACGCCCCCGCCCCCCTTGTACAAGGCTAAAGTTGTGTGCGACGGTGAACCCATATAACGAAAGCCCAGCGAAGAGTGCGCCCCGGAACTGTGCCCAACCGCGTAACCCTGTACAAGGGGGGCGGGGGGCGCGGGGTGCAGGGGGGGCGGGGTGCAAGGGGGACGGGGGGCGCGGGGTGTCGCGCAAATGAAAGGGCGGGGGGCGCGGGGTGCCGCGCAAATGCAAAAGTGGAGTATGCCCCATCGTCTCTGGCGGCTTTCGGCCGCCAGCGGGACGATGCGCCAGACAGGCTGTCGCGTAGCTCAAGGACTAGCCTGATGGTGTCGCCTGTCGTCTCATGCGGTTTGTATCGGTAGCCGGAGGGATTGCAGAGGAGACGGGTACGCCAAGCGAGCGGCGAAACCGATAAGAGAATGGCGGAAGCATCTGAACAGAGCCCGGAAAGACGGAGGCGAAACCGATAAGGAAAGGGGAAAAGGAGAGAGACGGACTCATCTGGCCTCGCGACAGGGGGACGGGCGTGCCAAACTGTGCAGAAAAGTGGCAAAACATCGAAAGCGGCCCAGAAGCACCACTGTCCCCTAGCGGTTTCGCTTCAGAGTTTCGCGAGGATCCCCTCGAAACCGATACCCGCATGAAAGTCGAAGCCATGAAGGGAGGACATTTCGCGAATTCGAGACGGCTAAGGGACTCGCAAAACGGTCAACAACCTGGCAGGTTTTTTGCGAGAGCTTTCGCGGCTTTTCCATTCTCATACGCCCTGCCCTTTTTCCTATTTGCGGCACCAAATGCCGCAGCGCGCCGCAAAGTGTGGCGCAAGGTTTTACCGAAAAGCCGCCAAGCGGAGACCGATGGCGCTTCCCATTTGTGGCCAGTCTTTTGGGAGAATATGAGGAAGCGAAACCGACCAGGAGAGTTGGGAAACCCTTGCGAGGTTTTTTGTCGTAGACGCTGCGGCGGTCTTTTTCTTTTAATTCTTTGCGCTGTTAATATTTGAAAGCGCTCGAATACTTTGCGCCTATTTGAAAACACTGGGAGAATGTTTAGGAATATTCGCCGAGCGTTTTAAAGTAACTAAATAAGTGCGAGAATAGTTCTCGCGTGAATATTTTGGAAGAAGGTGAGGGACTGGCTATGGAGTTCATACCATGCGGGGATCGAAGTCCCGGAGAGGCTCCGGACATGCTCACGAAGTTCCCCGATGAGTTCGCCTCGTGGGGCTATCTGAGCGAGCTGATGCCCGGACGCTTCTCAATTAAAAAAGAAAGCGCTGGAACTTCTTTCAAGTGTTTCTCTTTTTCAAGCCAACCGCCCTGACATCAGGTCGCTTAGGTAGCCCCATGAGAAGAACTTGGCGGGGAACTCCAGGAGCATGCCCCGAGCCTCTCCGTGAGTTCGATTCCCGCACGGTGTGAACCCCGTAGATAGTTTTTCACCTTCTCCCAAAATATTCCCGCGAAAGTCATTGACTCCCGCAAGCAATTGACTACTTTAAAATATTGGAGAAAAGTTGCCAAGTATTTTCTAAGTATTTTCAAACACTTGCAAAATATTCGAATACTCTCAAACATTAAGAAAGCAAAGAAACAAAAGAGAAAGACCGTCGCAACGTCTCCGACAAAAATCCCCGCAAGGGTTTCCCGGCTCTCCTTATCGGCTTCGCTTCCTCATATTCTCCCAAAAGATTGGCACGCCCCGAGGCGTTTTCCTTTTTTCTTATTCTCTAGCACATGTCGCAGGGGCCGTAGGCAGCCAGGGACGACGGGGCATCCATGGGGTTCGCCTATACCACGCGCGCGACAGCGTCCGAAACCTGGCGTGGCGCCTCGTCCCTCGGGCGGCCGTAGGCCGCCGGGGCATCGCATGACCATTTTGTCCCCGCCCCCCCTTCTGCGCCCCCGCCCCCCTTGTACAGGGTTAAAGCTGTGTGCGACGGTGAACCCATATAACGAAAGCCCAGCGAAGAGTGCGCCCCGGAACTGTGCCCAACAGTGTACCCTTGTGCAAGGGGGGCGGGGGGCGCGGGATACACGGGGGGCGCGGGGTGTCGCGCAAATGAAAGGGCGGGGGGCGCGGGGCGTCGCGCAAATGCAAAAGCTGGGCATGCCCCGTCGTCTCTGGCGGCCAGACAGGCGGTCGCGTAACTTAAGGGCCGGCCGTCTGATTCGGTTTGTGTCGGTAGCCGGAGGGGATTGCAGAGGAGACGGGCACGCCAAGCGAGCGGCGAAACCGATAAGAGAACGGCGGAAGCATCGGAGCAGAGCCCGGAAAGACAGAGGCGAAACCGGTAAGGAAATGGGAAAAGGAGAGGGACGGGCTGGTCTCGCGGTCGGGGGACTGGCGTGCCAAACTGTGAAGAGAAGAGGCAAAACGCCGAAAACGGCCCAGGAGTACTGCTGTCCCTTCACGGTTTCGCTTAAGAGTTTCGCGAGGAATTGCGGATCTTCAGCGGCCCCCCCTTGCTTATCTCTCGCCGATGGCTTCCACAGTACGGGCGCCACGCCTCACCACTTTCGCACGGTCTACAGCCATCGCCCTTAGCTCTCGCCTCGTTTACGTCCGTGAGCCGATGCTGCGATTCTGAGCCTGTAGCCCCCAGCACTGTTGGCGTGCTTGGCTTCGGGTTCAGGACGTGGCTGCCATCGTGCCCAATGGTGGCCGCGATACCTATAGGCGCGGGGCTTGGTATATTGCTGCCCTGGGTTGGGTTGGACTGTTTCAGCTTGTCAGCTGGTCGATTTCGATCTTCGGCCCTTTCTCTGCTACTGTAGTACCTGTTGGGGTGTCTACACTTTTGGGCGATGTGTAGTAATTTCCGCTCCTGTAGCTGCTTCCCTAGGATCTTGCTCTCGGTTGAACCTCTGCGCGCAGAGTTCCAAGCTGTGC